GTCATTGTGCTGTTGGAGCTGCCAAGACAACACACTTGTAGTTGTAGATCTCAATTTGTTGTTGTCTTATTTATAACTGTGTTTATAGTTCTATGTAAGTGTGTAAGCATCTTAACTTTGTTTTTGGTGGTGGTGGGCATTGAACCTAGTGCCACATGAATGCTAAACATGTCCTCTACTACTGAACTTTTATCTCCAACTCCTGACTTCTTTTCTTTTTGGTTTTATTGAGATTGGGTCTTAAGTAGTTCAGGCTGGCTTTGAACTTGCAGTGATCCTTCTGCCTCATCCTCCCAAGTACTGGGATTACAGGTGTGCACTACTATGCTCTGCTTACCCTGACTTCTTTATTGTGCATTCTAAATTAGTTGGTATGCCTGGTCATTTCTGTAATGCAATTTACATTTTATGTTAGGTTAATTTTTGCTTTTATCTTAGTTAGGATATTGTTGAATGTAAAAAAAAAAGGTTAGGATTTTGTTTCTGGATAGCTAAGGAGATGCAGAAAGTTACTTGTTATAAAAAGTAGTTGGTCTGATAAATTAGAGTACTACTTTATATATGTATTTGTATCTGTTATATTTTACACATGATAGAAACAGTATTTGTTGAGTTAGTCAATTTGTGGTGCCTAGATTACATTTATGTACACTGTTACATTTGGTGACTACACTAAATCTATAAAGTTCTGAGGGCAGATAGTTGCTGTTTTATACATGAGATAATTGAGAGAGATATTAACATGGCCAGTCATGCTTCTGGAGCTCTACTAGGAACATCCCTATAGATATTATTTTTTTATATAAGGAACTTTAAATTGTGTTTCAGACACTAGCAGTCATAGGACTACAACTCTTGAGTAAGCTGTGTTTGAGAAACCAAGAAATTTAATGACTTTTGAGATACTAGAGGACCTCCCCAAATTTTAGAGATGATGACAATTGACTTTTGAGTGAAATACTGAAACACTCAGTATTATAACTTAGTATAAAGCTTTTGGAATATAATGTCAGAAAATGAATTCAACAGAATACTTGTAGGACTAGAAGATAAAACTCAGTGGTGGAGCACTTGCTTGCATGTACAAGACCCTGTGTTCCATTTTGAGTACTGCCAAAACAACAAAACAAAACACCAAATACATACGAAGAAACCCCACTCTTCTGGTTTATGTCAGGAGCTATAATGCTAGGGATTTCTTTGATTAGTGTTGTAGTCAGGGGTTGTACACAGAGAACAATTCAGATCAGGACACGGAGTTTATATTTTTATAATGGTTACTGGGAGTTAACACAAGAAAATGCAGGAAATCTATCTGCAACACCAAAGACTTAAGAGTATTTAGTCAAGAGCCTAAACCTCATGGCAATGTCCCACATGAGTCCAGATAAAAACCCAGAGCTCAGGACAATGCCTCCCACGAGTCCAACTGGAGATCCAGAGCCCACAAGAAGGACTCATGCCAGTCCCTCTTACGGATCCGTGCCAGGAAGACCCAAGGGTCAGCGGTGGAAACCAGAAAGTTTATGCCAGCAGGATGAAGGAGGTGTGCTAGTGGCATGAGGGTTCTATGCTGGAGCCGAGAAGTCACACTCACAACAAAGACCAGGGCTGTCCTGAAAGGCACCACAGTTGTCCTCAGCCACACAGAGGCCCCGAGCTCCTCCTCCGACAAGCACAGTCAAGTATGTGCCGGGAAGCAGCGTGACAAGTTCATCCTGGAGACCAAGGAGGACATGTCTTCCCCTCCAGAGCCAGAAAGCAATGCTCGATGTGAAGACCAAAGCTTCTCCAGAAGAACCAATAGCTCAGACAGCAACTCGTAGGAGAACCCACAATGCCTCCTTAACCCCTCAATCCTCTTCTCCACCTATTTATCCTGGCAGCCCTCCTAAGGTGGAGCATCTTCTCCCAATGCATGCTGATGTAATCCAGCTGGCGTTAAGTTGACCACCAGTTCTCAAACCATAACATCCATCCCTCGTCAACTTAATAACCACACGCATTTCCTTAAACTATAGTCCTTAGTGGCAGATTTGTTACATTAATAAAACAATTACATGTATACATAATTCTTTTTACACTTAATTCCTGCATCAAAACCAAAACATTTAAAAGGTGACCAAGATTCAATATTAAAACACAGTACTTTGACAAATCAACTGGGTTACAAACATATAAAACATTAAAATCACACTAAAAGAACAATTACAATTACAGTGCTTGCTTCTGATTAACATGGCATGGCAAGACTAAAATATAAGGATCTCCTGCAATTCAAATGTACTCTTGATTTTTCCATTGTCCTATTCTTCTAAATAACCATGTTCTCTGTTTCATCTTTACAACCCACAGTTCCAATGGAGCCTTCTTGGCCAAGTGTTTTAAATTACTCTACTGGCTCTTTGCTCTAAATTTTCTAAATTTTCAAAATAGATCTGGTTAGACGTTCTCTAAAGTAACCATGCTACCATCCTGAAAGTAGACTACATTGAAATTTTTCTGTCACCCAGGTAATATACCTAAATACAAACAAGAAGACCCATTTTCAGCCAAAGCACAATATACTACCTGGACTCCAGCAGACATTGCAGTCTTTCCGAACAGAAGCCTCCCAAGCTTCATCTTAATTGGCAGCATCTCCATCAGTACTTCGATCTTTCAGGTTCTGACCAGAGTCTCCAAAATAATACAGCACACAAAGGCTGTCTCTTTGGCCAGTCTCTAAAATGTTTTTCAGACTAATTTCCAAAGCTCTTAAATCACATGACCAGGCAACATAACAGCAATGACCCCACTCCTCTGGTACCAATTTCTGTTGTAGTCAGGGGTTGTACATCAAGAACAATTTAGATCAGGACGTGGAGTTTATAATATTTTTATAATGGTCACCGGGAGTTAACACAAGAAAATGCAGGAAATCTATCTGCAACACCAAAGACTTAGAGTATTTAGTCAAGAGTCTAAACCCCATGGCAATGTCCCACATGAGTCCAGATAAAAACCCAGAGCTCAGGACAATGCCTCCCACGAGACCAACTGGAGGTCCAGAGCCCACAAGAAGGACTCATGCCAGTCTCTGTTCTGGATCCGTGCCAGGAAGACCCAAGGGTCAGCGGTGGAAGCGAGAAAGTTTATGCCAGCAGGATGAAGGAGGTGTGCTAGTGGCATGAGGGTTCTATGCTGGAGCCGAGAAGTCACACTCACAGCAAAGAGCAGGGCTATCCTGAAAGATACCACAGCTGTCCTCAGCGACACAGGCTCCCGAGCTCCTCCGATGACAAGCACAGTTGGGTACGTGCCAGGAAACAGCGTGACAAGTTCATCCTGGAGACCAAGCAGGACATGTCTTCCCCTCCGGAGCCAGGAGGCAATGCTCGATGTGAAGACCAAAGCTTCTCCAAGAGAACCAATCGCTTAGACAGCAACTCTTGGAGAACCCACAATGCTTCCTTAACCCCTCAACCCTCTCAACACCTCCCTTCTTTTCCACCTATTTATCCTGGCAACCCTCCTCAGGTGGAGCATCTTCTCCCAATGCATGCTGATGTAATTAGCTGGCGTTACATTGACCACCAGTTCTGAAACCGTAACAATTAGAATGTTGCTATTTTCATGAACTTTAGATTTGTTTTGTTGTTTTTGTTTTGAATGTTTATAGATTATTTCTTTTTTTTCTTCAACTTCAAGATTTGTGAAACAAATACTTAAGTAACTGATGTTATAAACTGTAAGAGGAATATATTTTAAATTTGAGAGAAGAGGTCCAATTTGAGTTGAAGCTGTGTTTGATGTGTACAACGATTTTTCCTTTTTTGTGGTACTTTGGCTTTCTCTCCCTTCTTCCTTTTCCCCACAAATAAATCACCAGTTCTTAAAAGTGAATTATCACATGTCCATGGAATTCTTTATTGCTGCTTGTAAGTTGAACAAGTATTAACAGTGTGCTGACATATTCAAATGCCATTTCTGAAAGTGAGTTGTGCTACTCACTTCAGAAGCTCATACATTTGTATTTCTCAATATACCTGGCACATTTTTGTTTATTTGTATAATGACTTGCTTTCTGTATGCCTGTGAATTATGAATCCCAAATCAGTGGCTTCTGTCACTGCCTTTTTACATATTCTTAAGTTTTAATCAGATAAAATGCAGAAACGTGCATGATTTAGAACAATCTTTTGTTTTGTTTTGTTTTGGTACTGGGAATTGAACTCAGGACCTTGCACTTACCAGACAAGCACTGTGCCACTGAGCTATAATTCCCTGCTTAGGACAGTCTCCTTTTAAAACAATTTATGTATTTTAGTGTTTAGACAGTACTGTACTGAAAACTATGTGCCATGCCCTTTATATTTTCTCATTTGAGGGTCGATATATCCTTCTTTTACTCCTGATTCAAGATTTAAGTAACTTCATTTAGGTTGACTGCTTACTGTGAAAGCTGGAATTCTAATCTCTATCTTTGACTCAGTCCTTCAATTATCTGTAAAATGTAGCTTCAACATACAATTGTTGAATGTGGGCATGTGATGAGTATTAAAAGATACAAGGGGGGATACTTCTCTGTGTGAGGCCTATCATGTGATGAGGAAACAGGTATTTAAAAGATCACATTAGAGAAAAATAAGTGTTGGATACCAAGAGGCTGATGTATGTCCCCCCCCCCCCTTAATAAGTTCTAAAAAGGCTCAGAACCAACAGAGAAAACAGAAAGGATGAGACAGAAATAAGTAATGTAAAGATTGTACTTTAGGGTGACTAATATACTTGGTAAGACTTGATTGAGTGTGTGTGCCTTTGTACTAGTGAGAAGGTCGAACTTTAATGCTTTTGGGTTGTCAAACCCATTTTAATTCAGTCCTTTAAAACTCTTTAAGCATTGATTTTTAACTATGTGTATTGAGTTTCTCACTTGACTAAAGCACTTTTATCTACTCACAAATAAGTGAATTTTTGTGAAATATGTTCTCATTATGTGTATCTCTCTTTCTCTTTAGGTTATCTTGAATACCAGATGTCTAACAATTTTCCTTCCAGCATTAGCTGTTGTTTTTCACTGCCTCCCAAAAGATCAAAATTGCTCTGGAAATTGGAGACATACTTGATTTAAAAGAAAAACTTGAACAAATGGACAATATGTCTATTACGAATACACCAACAAGTAATGATGCCTGCCTGAGCATTGTACATAGTTTGATGTGCCATAGACAGGGTGGAGAAAGTGAAACGTTTGCAAAAAGAGCAATTGAAAGTTTGGTAAAGAAGCTGAAGGAAAAAAAAGATGAATTGGATTCTTTAATAACAGCTATAACTACAAATGGAGCTCATCCTAGCAAATGTGTTACCATACAGAGAACGTTGGATGGAAGGCTTCAGGTAAGTCGCATTGTTTTATTTTATTAGTTTTGTTTTGAATACTGGGTGTTGAACTCAAGGGCTCATGCAAGCTAGAGATCTGCTGTTCCACTGAGTACATCCCTAACCCTTAAGTTACTGCATGAAAAAACTTACAGAAATCTTGTTAGATTTAAAAATTTTATTTCTAGATTTTAGGGCTTAGTTTCTATAACAAATAACCTTTTGTATTTTGAAAATCTGAATACAGATACAGGCCTTATAATCACACCTAAATTCAAATTCTAGCTTTGATATGTGGTGATGGTCAAGTTAGTTATTTTAAGTTTTAATTTTCTTGTTTATAGAATAGAAATTATACTATTCCGAATGCGGGGGGAAGAGACCCTCAAATTCAGTTTTTTCTTAGTACATGCTTACAACACAGATCACTTCTGGGACTCTAAAGGTATGGAAATTTCTTCATACCCATAAGTAAGTAAGGAGTTCTGCAGTGAACACCATGTAGGTGTCTTCTAGTTCAATTCCGACACTGTCTGCCTGAAGATAGTGTTCGATCTCACAGATTAAGGGTTCAGTCCTGAAGATCGACTCCCACCTCACTAAACCCCAGAAGCAATAAATTTAGTTCTCCCATTCACTCTTCAAGTTTGATTAATTTGCTCTTCCTGCTCACAAAACTCAAACATATTTACCAGTTTATTATGAAGGATATTATAGAGGGTATAAATGAAGAGATATATAGAGCAAGTTAAGCTTCCACGCCTCTCTCCAGGCATGCCACTCTCCAAGAATCTCCACCTGTTCAGCTATCCTAGAGATTTTCCAACTCTGCTTGTTGGAGTTTTTATGGCAGCTTCCCTACATAAACATGGTTGATAAATCGTTGTGCCACAGTGGTCAGCTTTTGTGTACAGCCATGTTCTCTTCTCTGTAGATTGAGGAGTGATTCTGTCATGGTCTTTGCTGTGACCAGCCTCTAGCCTGAATCTTCCTAAGGGCTGCCGGTCGTCAGTCAACTCATCAGCATGTAGCTTTGTAAATTGCAAGATTTTAGGAGTTTAATGTTAGGAAACGGGGACAAAACCAAATACTTAGTTCACAGTATCACAAAAACAGACTTTGTAGGGTTGAGAACATATATAAAAGTTCCCTTCATAATGTCTGACACACCATTGCTGCTTCATAAATGGTTGTTTATATTTCTCAGGTGGCTGGTCGGAAAGGATTTCCTCATGTCATCTATGCCCGACTGTGGAGGTGGCCTGATCTTCACAAAAATGAACTGAAGCACGTTAAATATTGTCAGTATGCATTTGATTTAAAATGTGATAGTGTCTGTGTGAATCCATATCACTATGAACGAGTTGTATCACCTGGAATTGGTAAGCAGACTTCGCATTTATCCTTAGACATATAAAAGAGGAAGACCCAGGGCCTGGGATATAGCTCAGCAGCACAAGTGCCTGCCTGGCATGTGCAGAGTAAAGAAAAAAAAGACCTAATAGTGTTTTAGCTTTTCTATATTTACGTATTTGGGGATTATCCAGGACTTTAAGGGTAAAGAATGAGACATTTTTAATTAAAGTGTTTAAATCTGAATTTGGGAACAAGCTTGTAGTTTGGCTGCTAAAACTAAGTATATATAATTGATATTTGTCTACTTGGTACCATTGTTTCTGAAAAATAAGATAAAAAGCATTATAGATTTTAATACTTAAGTTTATATATATATTAGAAATTACACTACTTCTGAAGTGAAATGGTTCATAAAGTTTTATAATTTCTGACTTACATTTATATTCTGTAGCTTAAAATATAATGGGAGATACGTTCATGGTAATGATTAATGTTTCTTTTTTTTTCTCCTCCCTTTTAAAACATTAAGATCTCTCAGGATTAACACTTCAGAGTAATGGTAGGTAAAATGTTTCTTGTAACTTTCTGTATTTTCCTTTATCCTGACCCTTTTTTTTTTTTTTTTTTTTTGGTGTTGCTGTTGACATAGAAATAGTAAAGTAGGTATAGGTAACATTAACAGTAAAAACGTTTGGAAATGTAGATTTTGAGGATATTCATCGGCGTTTAAAACTATTTAAATCAACATAGCTGTTTGGATTTGAATTGTCATTTATTAACTAAAGATTTCCTAAAAATATGGTAGAAGGCACCAAAAACATTAATACAATAGTCACTTTAATATTTTTAAATTGATAAAAACTGGGAAGAAAATCTTACAGAACCAGTTTAAATGGGTGTGAGTACTTGTAATGTGTGGTAACATGCTCTTGAAAAATGCCAATAAGTCTGTTTTTTCTTCATTTAACACTTTCTGGGGGGAAGTGTCTGGGATTGAACCAAAGGCCTTGTTCTTATTAGGCCAGCTTCTTACCACTGAACTACAGCTCCTAGCTTTTATTAATGATAGTAAATTACAAGTATTAATGTTTTTCGAACCTTGATATATTTCAACTAAATAAAAAGTTCTTTAAAGTACATACTGATCACAGCTGATCTGATTGTATTTTAAGAAAGAAAAATGTTTCAAGGTGAGAAATTCAGTTAGAGCTATTTTTGTTTTTTAGTATAATATGTGAAAATAGAGTTCTGTGAAATTTTCAGCTCTGTTATTTAGAACTTGTTAAAGAAATACAATTTTGTAGAAACTAATTAATTTTCAGAGAAGCTCCGAAAGTCAGAATTGTCTCACCGTAGAAAAAGGTGTACTGTTCCAGAGGTAAATTAGTAACTTGGCACCTCTTCGTTGGGAGAATTTTAGAGGTGGACTAGTAATATTATGTGACTTTAAAACTTAAGAATACTATGCAAATCTGTTTATTTTTATTCTCCATTTTTCTTCCATCTTCCCAGTAATAGAGGAAGATTGTAGTACCTTGTATTACATCATTGTTAATGATAAAAGAGATTTCTGAGAAGTGCAGATTGGTAATGGGAGCTGTGGTGGTTTGGGAATGGTAGCTTTAAGGTTGCTTGAAGCCTTCCTCTTTGCCACACAGGCACTGATATCTTGTCACTTTGAAAGTAAATATTCAGATGTTCGTTCATTTACCATCTCTGTTTCTGGAGAAATAAAAGATATAGCTCAGTGAATATTAGGGATTGAGAAGCTACAGTGTTATTATAGGGGTATTAGTAAGGAGTCCGAAGTTTGAAGGCTCCTTGCATTTCTCTCCATCCTAAAATTACTGTTTTTCTAAGTACTTGTTACTGATGGGATTGATAACCTCTCTTCAGGAACTTTAAGGTGTATTCAGCCTTTTGAGCCCCCCTAGTGGTGGTTACATTAAGCCAGCCTTGAATGGCTTATTTTCTTAGAAAACAGGTATTTCTCAGGTCCCTTTGAATTTGGACAAGGCCAAGTAACTAAAAGTTAAAGAAATGGAATGACTCTTTAAGTTGTGAGAGGTGGGGTCTTGTAGTAATCCTTTCCTGTCTATTGTCTTTTTCATGAAAATTTCTATGACCACATTGATCTGTGTATTTGTTTTACAGATATTTAATGAGCATGTATTGTCTGGTACTGTGGTAGGTTGCAGTGATACTAAGATAAACAAGGCATGTTTTCTTCACTCAGAGAGTTTGTAGTCTGGTGGGAGAATAGAAAGTAAGAGAGCAATAATACCATCAGAGTATTGCTGTAGCTTATTTGCCAGTAGTGATAATGTAGACTTAGGGTAAGCTCAGTAGCATCAGCTTTTTTTTGTCAACTATGGAGCACACATTCCTTATCTCTCATAGACCATTTACAATCACTGTGCTGAAAATATGTTTAAATAATAAAACCAGCACTTAGCGAAAACTGATTATGTGTCAGGTACTGAGCTAGATTATTTGTGAGTATAGTGTCACCATTCTCATAATGCTTCTACATGGTAGCTAGGATTATCCATACTTTACCAGATGAAGAAACTGTTATGGAGAGGTCAAGGAACTTGCCCAACATTAGGATAGCTAAAAGGAGTTGGAATAATGATCTTGCTGCTAAGTATTTAAACAAGGAAAAATTGCAGTTCAGTAGACTTAAGTTTCATGAGGTCAGAGACACTTATTTTGTTATTGATATATCCCAAGTGCTAGAACAGTACCTGGAACATAGGTGCTCAATAAATATTTTTTTTAAATGAATGAATTTGTGAAATGATAGTCCATAAGAGAAGTACTGAACAGTTTGGTATCTGTTTTTTAGACTTTAAAAAGTATATACTATATGTTTTCTTTTAATTTTATTTTTTTGAATAGGCAATACATGGTCCATAAATCAAAATACTATAAAAAGGTATACAGTGAAAAGAAGTGCTCCCACCCCTGCCCCCATTCCCCCCTACTTCAGGTAATCACTTTTATTAGTTTCTGGTGTTTTCTTCCAGGGTTTCTTTATGCAAAAGATACATGTACAATTTCCCTCCTTTTTTACACAAAAAAGCATACTAGTGCACACTGTTCTGGACCTTGCATTTTTACAATATTTTTAAAGCATGCATATGACCAGTGTATTAACAGTATTTTGTAACTTTTTTTCTCTTAACAAAAATATGTTGCAAACTTCTATCCTTGTTGATAACTTCAGTTTTATCCAAGAAACATACAATTTAGACTGTTTCATTAAAAAGAAGATCCATAGAGTGGTAGAGGTTCCAAGCTGCCATTTGGGAAATTATTTAACATATTAAAGCAATAAAAATTTCTGAGGCTATTTAAAATAGGAAATAGTTGATACTTGAAGAAGTTATGATTGCCTATTAAGCTCTTTCAGTGTCAACTGAAAGGCAGAAGCAGTATCAAGTTGGCCAGTTATATTCTCAAGCCAGTAGCTTTCTCCTTACAGGCTAGCAATGCCAATATGTCGATAGTAAGTGCTAGTAGAAGCTCTCAGTCACTATAACAATAAAAACCCTAATATGTCCTGGAGTTAAATAGAGATGTCGATCTGTGAAAAAAACTTAGAACTTTGTTGAAGAATACAATAAAAACTGATTAAATGCAGACATGCTTTATGCCTGAAACACTGTTTTATTTTTATATATTTTTATAATTTAGCCAATAGTAATGATGAATGGTTAGGACCACTTTTTGGCCAATGAATGATGATGTGTTAAGCAACCTTTTGATGATCTTTTTTTGTTCCTATGGAATTTTCTAGAGAGAAACTTTGGAGTGGAGTTTGATGCATGAGAAAAAATTAAAGAGGTTGAATGGAAACTTGAAAAATGGATTATTCTTGCTGCTTTGTAGTTGTCTCAATTTAGTAAAACATAGCCATGTAACTAATTGATACTTACGTGTGATAGATTTTATTTTCTTCAATGGTGTACCTAGGAAAAAATAAGGGAAGTGATAATTTCTTACTTTTTTCTTGTTCTTAAACAAATAATACTGGGGATTGAACTAGGGCTTTTGCACTCACCTGTGTACCAGGCCTTTTAAGATTTTTTTGAGAGAGAGTCTCACTAAGTTGCTGATCCTGAGCTTGAATTTGTGATCTTCCTGTTTCATCCTCCCAGAGTGCTGGAATTGCAGACATTTACATGTTTCCCAGCTAATGTGCTGCTTCCTAATAGAAAGGGAAAAGATTTTCTTTGTGTTCTCTTACTAGAATCTAGTAGGTTGTGAAATTCTGGGGTAGTGTTAGTGCAGAAAGAGTAAAGGCTTGTTTTGCTAATGGTAAAAGGCAAACCTAAAACAATAGCCCCATACAAATGAGGCAGTCCTGGACAGAAAATGAGCATTATAAATGAAGTTCTCTTTCAGTTTTCTTTTTCTTACATTGAAGCAAACTATTCTTTAATTTGTTAATGCAATGATACTATGTTTTATTAGCCAGAGTTTGCTTATTAAACCATGAGCATACATGTGAAAAATACTGATTATTGTTTTTAAATATATTTATCAAACATCCTTATTTGTATTAGATTTCTAAAGGAAAATTTCAGTTTGACCATTCTAGAATTTTTGTTTAGTTCTAAACCTGTAAGGGACACTTAATATAGTTAAGTTTCAAAGAATGTATTAGTTGACAATAATTCTAGATCCTAGAAATGGATAATTGTCAGATCCCACTTAAATCTCCACAGTGTGAAATTTTTTAAAAAGCTATGTATTCAGTTTCAGCTTTGTCTTGAGTATTTGGCCTTTTTAACCAAATATTTTGACAGACATTTGGTTTTTGCCTATTTCATTTTACATAGAAATCTCTAGGTTTACAAAGATAGTGTAATACATCTTTAGGACTATTTCTGGAAGCTGCTTAGAATATACTTCAGCTTCAAATTTCATTCAGTCAAATTGATAAGCTGTATCTGATGCTACTACCTTAGATAATTTTTGCTGATAAAATAATACGCTTTCAAATATAGTTGATTTTTAGTTGCCCTATTAGTTGCATATAAGTTTTTTTCTGGGAATAAAAACTAACGTTTTAAAATATGTTTAATTTTTTGCGTAGCTCCACCAAGTATGTTGGTGAAGGATGAATATGTTCATGACTTTGAGGGACAGCCATCATTATCAACTGAAGGACATTCAATTCAAACCATCCAACATCCACCAAGTAATCGTGCATCGACAGAGACATACAGCACCCCAGCTCTGTTGGCCCCATCTGAGTCTAATGCTACCAGCACCACCAACTTTCCTAACATTCCTGTGGCTTCTACAAGTGAGTTATGTGTCGATATAGTCAGTAAATTGACTTTTTCTAGTCAGTCAATATTTATGGGTAATCACTTGGTAGAAAACTCCAAGTAAGTAAAAAATAAAAGTACTGTGATATATTTTACAGATAAAAAATTTATCTCCCTTTCCTTCCCCTCCTCCTCCATGTGTATGTCTCTCTATGTATGTATGTTTTGCTGGAGATTCAAATCCAGAGTTCCTGATGCTTGCTAGGTTAGTGCTTTATCATTAAGCCACATGGCCTAGTCTCTAGGGCAACAATGGCAAGGCAAGCCTTTTAGAGCTGTCAGTAGCCCACTGCAGCACACATGCCATAGGTATACTACCACTGCTCTAAAAATTAAAAAACATTAAATAGGTGTTGGAGTCGGTCCTGGAGAAATTAGTGCTTATAATTTATTTAAAAGTTCTTATATTGATGTATAATCAGTTGGATTTTAAGTAATGACTTTGATTATAATTCTGACTTAATGGTCTGATTTGTACTTTATTTACTAGTGCATGGGAAGAAAGAACTTTCTTAAATTTTCCAGATAGATTTTAGAGAAATTTTAAATAATGAACAAGTAGTTTTAGTCCAGTATTCTTTTAGTCTTGTAATCTTATTTTGCTTAGTTTAAGAGAACAATACTTTGAAGTAATCATCTCAGTGTCCCATTGTGCAAACTTAGAAATAAAAATTTTAAAAACATTTTTTAGAAATAAAAATCTTGACATAGTTACTATATAAACCTATCCAAATTAAATACTATTTTAATTTAAAACAAAAATTTTTTTTTCTCATTTTTTAACCTTTTTTTTAAAAATTAGAAGTCTGTTTCAAAAGAGTTCTTTCTATGGTAGAAAGATTAACAAAAGGCTCTTAGATCAGATTTTTTTTTTTTTTCCTTTTGGTGCTGGGATTGAACCCAGGGCTTTTACATGGCTAAGTTGTTAGGTAACTTCTCTACCATCAAATTGCATTCTTGGTCCAGGTTTAGGTTTTCTTGAGACTTAAGACAATGTGATCTATTTCTGTTTGTATTTCAATTTATTTTCAGTCATGAAAGGTTGAACATTTTGGTGCTTCACGAGTAGTGTTTTGTTTTATTTAAATGAATCATGCAGCATTGTTTTGGAATGTATATTGCATTATTTGTAGCTGGTTAATAAAAAGATTGTATTTAAGCCTGCAACAGCAATAGATTGTTGATCTGGAATGATTTGCTACCAAAGGATTTACTTTATTTACTTTAATGTCAGATCAGTTTCAGCATTGATATTTTGGTATTTGGAATAGATGGGAGATCGATTTTTCCAAGTTTTCAACTCAAGCATATCACAGCTTCACTTTTTCCAAATCTTTTTGACTTGCTACCTGAGAAGTGACAATCTCACTGTAGGTAGCTTATTTTCAAGTAACTCCTATGGATTTACTTTAGAATCCTTAATCACTTGGTGCTTTTGTTACCTATATTTTTTATAGTCTGTCTATATTTGAGAATATAGTTGAGAATATAGTTCACCAACAGAGTGAGTACTGATAGAGCATAAAAAAGTTGACAGCTGCGTACGTGTAGATTAGCGCTAGAACATAGTCATACTGGTATCTGTTTGTTTTCTGAAGATTGAATTTTTGTGTTTTTGTTAATGTTTACTTCATTTTTTTTTTTGGTTTAGTTCTCATGGGTGGGCTAAGTCCTATTTAAAGACCTGAAGAAGTAGTCTGAATGAAATGTGTTTAATTTTGTATTGTTATTTTCAGGGTAAATTTCTGTATTAAGTAATAAATACTGTGTGTTTTAGAACTAGTGGTAAAGTGTTCCTTTACTTTAAAAAAAAATAAATACATACATGATTAAAAGAAAGAAAAGAAATTAGACTAAAGTAGAGAAGTTTATTTTACATGATTATTTTACATGAGGTCATTTCATATAACTAACTTTGTCTTGGAATATGTAATGGAAATATTCAGTACAGTTAATTGCAATGGGTTACTTTATAAATTATTCTGATTTTGGTACCCAAATATCTTAGGGGTCCTTTCCAAATACTGTATCTGTAAATGAAAATCATTTAATTTCTGTTATGCAGTGACAGTGTAAGTTAAGTATATAAAGAATTACAGATGTTAAAAATGAGCAAAAATGTATTTGACTGTTAATTTGTAGAATTTTTTTTTTTTGTGGTGAGTAGCATGGAAAGTTGCCAAAAACATTATCTTAAAAATAATTAACTTGGGGGATGCTGAAATAGTCTCTTTAGCTTTTTACAATTCTTAGCTTTAAAGAAATATGAGCTGTAGAAAGGAGAGAAATGTTCTTTTATCTCTGATACTTTGAGCAGTGGTGACATTTATTCTTCCATCTGATTACATTCCTATTTAGGTAAGAAAAAATGAGGTGATATCAGTGACAAATAATAACAGTTATGTTATTTTAGTGTTCTCTAAATGAGATAAGCAGTTAATGCTTTAAGGAAAAAAAAATCCTTTTCTAGTTAAAAATAGCTTGAAAAGTGCCAGACTGTAACAAATATAGAACATTCATTATTTTGAGTAGGGTAAAAGCCAGAGGAAGCTTTGTCTTTTTGATCTGTTACATGAAGAAATGGCAGCTAATTTTACATAAGTCTAGGAATATGATATTTTTGAAAAGACATCATTGTGGGTTTTTATATGTATATGAAAAAATTTCAAAATAGATTGATAGTATTTTTTTTTAATCAGTACTGGGGATTGAACTCACAACCCTACGCTTGTAAGGCAGGCACTTATGCCACTGAGCTAAATCCCCAGCCCTGATTGATTGTATGTTGATTGTACAGTGGAGCTAGATTTTTTTTTTCAACTTCCTCACCTTCCCTATTGCATCTTATTTAATATACTGTATGGTTTTCTTTTATCGAATCCTACCATTTTGTTATTACCAGTACCAGTGCTGACAGTAATAAACTTCTCAGTTTTCAGCTTTTCCTTGAGCCTGAGTTTTTGCATGTCCTTGTCCGAAAAGTCCAGAAAGCTGCATAAAGTAGTCAAGGGTGAATTGATGTGCTTCTTAGTTTGTTATGATTGGCTAAATATGTAGTGGAATTTGCTGGCATTTGAAGAAAATATTTGTGGGAAAAAAAGGCCACCACAACTAGACAGACTTCTTTTCAAGCTAGGGTTGTCTTACATATAACATTACTTTTTGTTAAGCGGTAGGTGAGTGCCACTTTTGGCTCATCTTTGTCAGTAGTTGTGAATCATCAGATATAATTGGTCCTTCACATGTTGTAAGAAATGATAGGATTGCATCTATAATGTGCCATGTTAATGTCTTCTTGTTTCTCTAGGTCAGCCTGCTAGTATTCTGGCAGGCAGCCATAGTGAAGGACTGTTGCAGATAGCTTCAGGGCCTCAGCCAGGACAGCAGCAGAACGGATTTACTGGTCAGCCAGCTACTTATCATCATAGTATGTACATGCTTTTTAAAAATCTTTTACATAGTTGAGAAAAATAGGCAGACATTATAAAAGCAAATTAATCCATGTGGGCCTTAATTTTTAGACAGCACTACCACCTGGACTGGAAGTAGGACTGCACCATACACACCTAATTTGCCTCACCACCAAAACGGCCATCTTCAGCACCACCCGCCTATGCCGCCTCATCCCGGACATTACTGTAAGCTCTTGTTTTTGTTGTAAGGTCTTTTTCTTTTCTAGGACTTTTTTTTTTTTTTCTATTTTTATTCATCCTACAGTTTAATTTTGTTAAATAATTTGTGCTTTTCATTATTTTTTCAGTAACTTTGGTAAACATTTGTAGTTATGCCTTTATTTTAGAGTGATGTTTACTAAACACATTTACTTCTCTGTTGCTGATGCTTCATAAACACCACATTGATTTCCATTCATTTGTTTGTTTTTGTATATGTTCCTAGATCTCATGTGTAACTTGTGTACTCACCCATATTGGATTGAAACCCATCTATTACTGTGATCTCAAGATTTCCCTCACCATAATAATTAGTGCCATAGATAACTTAGATTTTGAATCTAACAATACTTTGTGCAAGCTTGATTGCAAGGGCTACCCTACACATAGTTTGTAGTTTTCGGCAGGATAGGAACACTATTTATTTGGCTTGTAAAATCAGGAGTATAAATCTTCCATGTATGTAAAATACCTTTTTCTATCATTTGAAGATTAATAGTATCAAAGAAAACTTGAAAAACATCAAAAAGCATGAATGATACTACCTAAAATCATAATATTTGAAGATAATCGTTGTTAATATTTTGTTATTTTTCTTCTAGCTGTGTAAGTGGGTATATATAAATGGGGTAAGGGTGGGAGAACATGCTACCTGTTATGTATAGTCTTGTAATAAATTTGAATGTAATAATTCATTTGTGATTTTTAGCAGTATCTTAACCTATAAAAAGCTTTTAATTATTTTAGCTAGTTCCACTATATAAATATCCTTAATTTAATAAACATAAGCACTTGTTTTTTGAATAGTCCTACCAATTTAAAGTATTTTTATATATTGAATTATAAATTATACTGTATTACATGTTATGTTATAAATCATTTATTAAACTACATTAAATACCATACATGAACTTTTGTAAATTACTTACTAACACTTGGCAGGTAGTACTTGAATATTAGTTATTAGCTATCCACAAAAGTAATTTAAGAGTATTTGCTTACTTTACTTACAAAGTAATCTAAACTTCTAAGTTCTTTGACTGTATATAAGCTTGATCTAAATAAGTTGTAGGTATGATAGTGATAGTTAAGTAAGGTTTATTAAAAGTTTAACATTGGAAAACTTTTAATAAATAAAAATGTGATTTTTATTGTCTTTTCTTTAGGGCCAGTTCACAATGAGCTTGCATTCCAGCCTCCCATTTCCAATCATCCTGGTGAGTGTATTTCAAAATTGAATCCTTATATTTAGGTTTTTATTATAGCAATTGGAACACACATGCAGTTTTTAATATAACTGCAGACAAGTACAGTACTTAATTATTATAATGTCAGTTAATTGATAATTAAAGAATGGGTGATGTAACCAGGTGCACTGCTGTAATTCCAGTACTCTGGGAGGTAGGAGGATCACAAGTTCAACCCAAACCTGAGCAACTTAATGACTTAGTGTGATCCTCTCTCAAAAAAATTTAGAAGTCTAGGGAAGTACCTTAGTGCAGAGACCCTTGGTAAATCCCCAGTGCGGCCAAGAAGAATTGTGCACACGTACGCATGCACACACACACACACAAATCATACATAAGCAATATTTGATTCATTGTAATTGTCTCTGAAAGAAAAGGTGATGTTTTCAATCCAGTATAAACTATGTAATTGCTGGTTTTAACATTGAATATAAAAATGGAAGGCAGAGCTAGATTTCAAAATAGAGCAGCTATAAAACCTTAGCTTAAGAAGCCCAGGATAATTTTAAAAAGATGCTGAAAAGAAAATTCACTGTATCTTAAAAGAAAGATTCAGGAATCTTGGATTAATTGGAATTTATAAACTATGTGATTAAATTAGGTTCAGAGAAAATGAAGTAAAGTAAATAGCTAAGTTGTTTTCTTCAATTATAGAATATGTAACTTAAAAGTCATAGAAGTAATAAAAGCTTTAAAAATTAAAAATGTAAAGATCCTCTGTAACACATAGAATTTTGAATTTTTTTCCTCTGTCCCAACATACAGGTTTTCTTTGCTTAAAAAGATGAAATACAGTTATGCCTTGGTATCTATAGGGAATGGGTTCTAATAAAGATTTTTAAAGAGATATAGCCACAATGGCCATAATGGTTAATTGGAAGACTAATTTACAGTTCCAAGTAGTTCTACATAATTTTGTATAACTAGTATTGCTATTGATTATGTTGATTCCAAATCTTTTCTGCTTAAAAGTAACTGAAGGGAAGAACTTTGTGCTTTTAGCTTTTCTCCTATTTCAGTTTAAGGATTGGCAGAAGCTCTGAATCAGAAGACCAAATTTTTTTTGCAGTGAAAGCATCAAGACTATGAGAACCAGTTTTACCATATTCACTAGCAATAGATGTAATTATTTAATTAAGTTTTTGCTGTTTCAAGACACAAACATTTGTTTTGGTTAGTAGGAAAGTATTGGTGGGATAGGCTTTTATTTTAAACTATACATATTTACTAGTTCATGTATCCTCTTTAATAGATTTTTGTATATATGTTACATTACATATTCTGTGACTTAAACTTCTTTGTGGATTCAGGAGTTTTTTCATGAATACTTTTTTTTTTTGAGAAATGTAACATAATACAAGTATACATAATAAAACTATATAGCCTAGTTTCTAATGTTTAGGTCAACACCTAGATTAAGAGACGTAACATTATAGTATTTTAGAAATTCTTGTATTCCGTGCAGCCTGTCTCAGTCAAAAGCTTTTCCTTTTTTCCCCCAAAGGTAACCTATATTCTGCTTTTTATGAATATTACATTTTTCTTTTTAAAAGTGATGAATATATCTTTAAACAGTATAGTTTAGTAGTTTAGATTTACTTGTTTTTAAAATTATGTAAATGGAATCATTCCATCAGGATCTTAATTTTTTTGAATAAATAGGTATATTGCGATGAGAGAAAAATACAGTGTCTCATGTATGAATATTTTTTGCTGGCACGAAGCCAGCATCATTGTGAATTGTTAGTGGCTTCTGGCACCTTATGGGACTCTGTTTCATATAGCTAACTGGGAGATGGTCTTCAAGAAAGAGAGTAATCAAGACTCTGAAAAAAGGCTTCTGATAAATAGTGTGGTGGAAGAGGAGGTAGAGTAGCATTTAGTCATTTGTTCCTGGTTGAAAACTCAGCAATAGCCTTTGGCATTTTAATAGATTTATTCTTCCTCATTCTTACTGTAGAGTAGATGTTTAGGCAGAACAGCCACTGGTGTTTAAGCATTAACACTGACCAAATGAGGATATTTGTCTGTAGCAGCTTGCATTGGCAGTGATGCTTTCAGTGGAGTAAGGAAGTAACTTAATTGTGAGTATGATCCTAAACAGGTTTCTGTGCAGCTGGTTGCAGGAAGCAATTAACTGCATGTACACTTTTGATGAAGTCAGTGGATTAGCACTTCTGTGGTTTTTGGTTGTGTCTAAAATAATAACCCCCCAGGACTTTTACCTTATAACTTGCTTTTCATTTTTCCTCTTCTGTTATTTCAAGAACATTTGAACTGGTTTCCCTGTTACGAGATTTTCTGATCCTAATACCCTTCTCCTTGCCAATTAATTAGAAACACTCTCAGTATTTGTTTTAAGATATGAAATGAACCATGTTATTTTTCTGCTCAAGAACTTGTTTTAATTCCCCTACTCATTGCATGGCCATAGAGGAAAGTCCATATTCCCTGGGTAGGCAAAAGACCATCTCTGGTTCTGGTCTCTGCTTATTTATCTAGTGTCATCATTTTATGCTTTAATTATGTTTTACTGTTTACCCAAATTTGCTTCACTTATTTCTTTCTCTGCTAATTTGAGTATGTTGTTCTTTGATTTATCTTTTACTGTGTTATATGTTGCTGTTGTTGTCTCCAGACTTGGCAAGCTAAAACAACAGTAACAATTTGTTGTGTAACTTTCTGCAGTAGGGAACTGGGAGTGGCTTAGCTGGGCAGTTTGGTTCCAGCTTTCAGAAAGTTGCAGTGAAGTTGTTGGTTGGGGTTTTGTCATGGGGACTGGAGTTGTACTTTCAGGCTGATTTTCCAACATACCTGACAAGTTAGTTGTTAGGAAGCTAGTTTCTCTTCATAGTCTTCCCTATAGAACTGCTTCTCCATTTTCACAATTTGGCAACTGATGAGTGACCAGGCGACAGTAAGTAGAATCTCAGTATCCTTTCATACTTAACTTCAGAAGTCACACCAGCTTTTCAGTAAGGTCCTATGCCATGTTGAGAGGACTACGTAAACATGTTAATACCAGAAGGCAAGAGTCATTGGGTACCAAAACTGGTGCACACCTCTAATCCCAGGATGTAGTTTAGGCATACCACTGTTGGGAGCCTTCTTCATCATTGTCTTCTGCTCCCTAGGACTTTCTAATCAAACTATTCCAGTTAGTAGTCTAAATGTCTGCTGTCCTTGTTTAGTGAGCGAGCAGAAAAGAAACCAGAAACCTTAACTACTGTTTTTCATTTTTTTTTTACAGAGTTTTTGCTTTTTCTTAAAGTTGAGATATAGTCATGTTAAATATTTCTAGTTAGCAAAAGATTGTGTTCAGATTCACAAATGGGTTTGAAATTTTGGAGTTCTTTTTCACTCAAGAAAGTACTTTCATATGCTCATAAATGATTTTCATATGATATCTCATTCAGACCTTATTAATAAAAAGAATAATTTATAACTAGTCCTTTAGGTAATTATCCAGATTTTTTTTTCTTGAGTGTTTCAGAAATTAAAAGTGCCCCAGTGATGAATTTCCATTACAGTTGAACAGAATTTGTTAAAATGTGGTTTATAAAACATTTCTTTGTTACAAAAATTTTTAGCTAGTATTCCCACTTTTCTGGCTAGAAAGAAACCCCCATAGGCTTCATAAGATTGACTTCAATAATTTAGGAATAAAATATTAAAATTTTTTTTAGCATATAACAATCTTCTCTTTCAAATGAATTGTGGAATTTAAGAAAGCCCTTTCAGAACTAATTACATCCTTTTGTTTCTGCTAATTTTGAGAGGCTGTAGGGTCATTTGTGTGATATTTCATCCTTGGAGCAAAAGCGTCCTTGGAGCAAAGAGAGAACCCAGAAGGATTTAATGCATACTTCTTTTTGCCTTCTATTATGAAAAATGTGTTTTTCTGACCACTTATCAAGTTGGGAATAAGAAAAAATTTTCACATATTTTGTAGCCTTGTGAGGCAACTCCAGTGCCAGTTTGATTTATTCTCATGTCTTTAAAAATTCTTCTCAATATTAGTAGGTCAGTCCATATTTAACCTTTTCGGAGATGCAGCTTTATATAACTATTGATGTATGATACCTGAAATATTAAGCAAATAAGTCTTTTGGTGACTGGTAAATAGTAATGTTGCAGTGTGAGTGCAGATTTTACAATTGATAATGACAAAAAATTTTTTTTATTAAACATGAAGCCTATAACCCCCATCCCATCACTGATTCTCATAGAGAAAAGTTTGCTTATTATGCAGTTTTTTCAATTTCAGTGAAAACTAGGAAATGCATTATATTTGAACCTCTTTTTTTAACCTATTATAGATATTTTGCAAAGATTTATCTTTTGAACTTGTTGATTTATTTTTTAGACTAGTTAAGACCTCTTTTAAGTATTGTTATTTTTTATTTCTACTAGAAGATTGGATAATTATCTTAGTCTATCAGTTTTAGCTTCAGCCAGTATGAACTACCTGTTTTTGCTGATGCTTTTTGTCCATAGCATAATGTGATGTTTTTAATGAGGAATTTTTAATAGTAAGTAACTTCATAAATACTTTAAAACTGGCTTCCTAAGATCTAAGTATAGTGTTGAGAGTGTAGCCCAGTGGCATAGCAATTGCCTAGCACACACGAGGTCCTGGATTCAATCCCTAGTGTCACCCCCACTCACCCAAAAAAGATGTTTCAAGAAAAGATGATCCAGTTATATCTCTTATTTTTTAATGTTCTGAACAATCAAATATATTTGGAGAAATGTTAATATTTGTAATTGACTAATTAGACTGGCATGGCAAAGCATTTAAATTTTATTTGAATTACTCACTGTTTGTGAGGTTTGTTTTAGTAACCCTTTATTGGAAAGTACTGTATTCTGAGATGTAATATCCCTGTATGTACAAATTCCCCACAGTGAATGTAGTAGTATCTCAAACATGAACATAAAAGAAGGAAAGTACTCTATTGCTTGATAACATTTGAAAAGCACCTAGCCTTTGTAGGTTTTTTTCTTTTAAAATTTTTAAGTATTTAGAACAAACTTTTGCCAGTTGATAAAATTTAACAATACAGGAAAAAAAAAAAACCCTGGGGACTAACTTTTTTTTATTAAGCTAGTTAATTTTGTTACTATCCTCAGTTTAAGTATGTATTTGTGGCAGCATTGAGGTTTTAGTACTCTTACAATTTTCTTGAGATATCTCACTGTGGTATTTTTGAAACACATTTCTCTTCCATTTTGTTATATACAACGTCTTGTATATAACAATACAATATCTTGTATTTTTTTAATCGTACGGTTTGCCGTATGTAATGTTTTACATTTGTTTTGTGAAATTGGTACATGTACGTAGCATAGCTTGATTCCGTTGTCATCTGCTTCCCCTCCCCTTCTTTTTTCCTCTTTCCATCCTTGATTTTTTTCCACACTTGAGGAAGAGCTATTACCCTGCTTCCTATTATCTTTTATTTTAGTCTTGATAGTTTGGGTTTCACATATAAGAAACCATGTGATACTTAAGTTTGTCTGACTTATTTTACTTAACATTATGCTTTCAAGGTGCATTTGTTTTCCTCCAGAAGACTGAAGTTTATCTTTATGGCAGAGTAATACTTCACTGTCTGTAAATACATTTTCTTTATCCGTTCGTTTCTTGAGGGACATGGAGGCTGCTTCCAAGATTTAGCTATTAGAAATTGTGTTGCTATAAACATGGGCTATGCATGTATTACTGCTACATAATGTCTTTTTCCAGAAGATACCTATGGGGAATAGCTGGATCAGGTGGAATTTCTAGTTTTTTTGAGAAATACCCACAGTAATTTCTGTAGTAGTTGTACTGGTTTCCTTCTACACTGTCTGTGGGAATGTGTTCTTTTCTCCCTTGCATCCTAGCCAGCATTTGTTACTAGTTGACTTTTTGATGATGATCATTCTTTCTAGGTTAAGATAGCATTTCAGTATTGTTTTAATTTGCATTTCTCTGGTGATCAAAATGTTCAAAATGTTGAACATTTCTTCATGTATTTATTGGCCACTTGCACTTCTTGTATGAAGTGTCGTTCTACTTGATCATTTTTTGAATGAGTCTTTTATTGTATTTTAGGAGTCTAGTAACACACACCAAAAGAAATTAAAGAATACCATTCACAGTAGCAACAAGAATACTTACTTAGGAATTAACTTTAAAAAAGACCTTTACAACGAAAAATACTGTACTCTGAAGAAGTAAATCAAAGACATCAGAAAATGGAAAGCTATCCTCTGTTCCTGGATAGGCAGAGCCAGTGTAGCCAACATGGCCATTCTTCCAGAATTGATACACAGATTTAATGTAGTCCAAATGAAAATACCGATAGCATTCTTTCCAGAACTAGAAAAAACAGTTTTAAAATTCATATGGAACCAGAAGAGCAGAAGCAGTCCTGGGTAACAAAAACAAAGAGGCATCACAATCCTGGGCTTGAAGTTATATCACAAAGCTGTAGTGATAAAAACAGCATGTGGTGCCGGCACAGAAACAGACATGAGGATCAGAAGAACAAATTAGAAGCTACAGAAACAACTCCTAGCATATTTAGTTATCTGATCTTTGACAAAGGGGCCAAAAATGTACATTGGAGGAAAGGTAGACTCTTTAATAAATGATGTTGGTAAAGGTGGCTATCATGCAGAAGTTTAAATCAGTCAATTAGGTATAGCAAAATCAAATAAAAAACAGAACATTATGAAATCATTCAAAAGAGAATATTGAATAGAGTAATACAATTAATCATAATGAAACAAAACAGTGAAAAAAATTTGCTTTCAAATAGAAGATGGAAGGAATTCCCTCATATTTGCTATAGTGCATCCGGTCATCCTCTCAAGACATGCTCAGACCTCTGTCCCCAATTGTGGTGGGTGTGTTTGATTTTTCATCCCATGGGCCAGTAGGCTCACAGGAGCCACCGACTGATCTCCTGTCTCGCACCGGAGGGAGGTACTTACCAAGAGAGTGGGCAAGTTGCCTTCTTCGGTAGCCGCCTGGGTTCCACCATGTCCGGTTCTCTCACCCATTTTTTTTAAAAAGGAGATTTATGTGGAAAGAAATCCATAAAATATTTTATCTTTAAAATAGGGCTGAAATATTTAGATTTATATAGCAGTGGCTACCTCATGTGGCTAAAATGAGTTGTGCTTCACTTCTAAGGGAACTCGGAACTTTGCCCTGACAGGGAACATACACCAGAATACTATGACAAGTTTTATCATACTGTATTGTAGTAATTTCTTGAAGAGATTGAAATGACTCTTAAAAATTCAAATATCTTTATTTTATTTTAAAGAGAAAAACAAAAAGAAAGAGACATACAGACAACAACTATAAGAACAACAAAAACCCAAAACAATAAGATAGGCTTTCAAAAAAAGATAGGAATTTAACAATGATTTAACAATGATACTGCATATTGGTATCTTCAAGAGAGTTGGCTTAGATTACCAATACAGATATGCAGAGTTGATCTAATTGTATGAGTTTTAACTGTTCTTTTCCAGAAATTAATAGAATTAGTAGTATAGTTATCATAGCTATTTTATGTATATATAAACATATTTATATCTTTTTCCTTTTCACTTTCTTTTCTCCTTTCCCCTATCCTGGTTATTTTTCCCCTTTGAGCAGTTTCTCACTCTTACACAATATCTGTTGTAGATTTTGGATCTCACTCTTTCATTTTCTTACACTAGAGAGACAATATGATATTTACACATGTAAGTCTGGTTTCTTTCACTTATGATTATGGTCTCAGGTCTCATCTATCTCATCATCATATAAAAGCCTCAATGCAATCCTTCTTTATAGCTGGGTAGTACTCTGTTGCATAAAAATACCTTATCTTTTTTATCCATTCCTCGAATGATGGCATTTGGGTTGTTTTCAAGATTTGGCTGTTACAAATTGTGCTGCTATAAACATGGGTACACATAAATCACTGTGCTATGATGTTTTCAATTCTTCTGGGAAAATACCTAGGAGTGGAACAGTTGGGTCACATGGACCTTTAATCCTAGCTTTTTGGGGAACCTCCATACTGATTCCCATAGTGGTTGCCCCATCAAATATCTTTTTAGATGGTTGAAAATTTTATTGTTTAAGATTGTAGTTTAGAATAAACACATTGAGGTACAGGTTAACCTACAGACAAACTATAACCACTGTCACTTTCATTTTCTAATAAATGACACTGGTTGTACTCCCTCACTCCAGTTTTTTCCTTTGTTTTGATTCCCTCCTTTCTTCTCTCCTTGCTTTCTGTTTCTCTTTTTCTTTCTTTCTCCTTTTACTATATGCCTTTGCTTTTGTTTTGCTCTCTGAAATCTTTGCGTAGTCTTCACATACATACAAGGATTTTAGGTCTTGGTTTCAAATAGGATAATTCCCTACCATCCAGGCTGAAATGTGCTTCTAGACATCTTTTGTTGTATTAATGTTTTCTTTTTTTGAAAATACTCACATTATTTATCATTGCCTGAGTTATCTTATTTGTTTGTCTGTCCCTGTGACTCCTTGAATAGTGACTATCTATTTTATTTACTTCTTTGCATGCAGTATCTAGATGACAGCTAGATGCTGTGTAGATATGTGTTACATAAACTAAAAAGGGAAAACCAAGCAATTTTCGTCTATATGGGCTCACTGTGTTCAAATAACCTCAAAAGTAGTTAATTGACTATATTTGCCATCCAAACTTATGTACTGCCTCTTTTTTCTAATCACTTAAAATTATTCTAAATCACTTGTTTAAATGAATACACCAAACATACTTTTAAAGTTAAAATTACAGTAGTAACAATTGACTTCACTAAAATGTCCCTTGAGATACATGACATGACCTTTCACCCATAAGACATTAGAGAATCTCAGCGTACACATATTATACAGAGTGTAATTAACTTTGATTTGGGACTGTGATGACTGACTGGCTTATATACTTTCAATTACAGATCTGTAAAAATATATCACAGATTGTTTTTCATGAGCACCTCTCTAGAATACAACTTGGGTTAATGTGTTTTTAAAAAATCAAAGTCAGACCACATAGGAAAATACACGCAGTCAAATAAAACATCACAGTAAAAAAAAAAATTTTTTTTTTCTTTTTTGGTGGTACTGTGAGTTGAACTGCAGGCCTTCAGAGTTACATCTCCATCCTTATGTGAACTTTTATTGTAATTGTAACGTACCCAGGCAAGGTTCAAGCTCTCAATCCTCCTTTATCAGCCTTACAAAGTGCTGAGATTACAGGTATGCAGTATGGTGCCTGGCTTGCTTGTGTTCTTTAAATGCTTAGTTGATTTGGTCCTTTGATGTGAGAACCAAATTTCTGAATGGTCCTCAATTCTGAGCTGGAAAATATAAGGCAGAAATTCCTTCTGTTTAATGCATTGTTATGTTAGTCCAATTCTCAAGTATGTTTCATTTACCTTTTCCTTTCTGTCATCCTTTCTGTTGGGAAAAACTTAGTCTTGTGGAGTGAAAGTGAAGACCTCATATCTGTTTTACATGGGTGGTTTTTTCTTTTTCATTTATTTCTTATAGCTCCTGAGTATTGGTGTTCCATTGCTTACTTTGAAATGGATGTTCAGGTAGGAGAGACATTTAAGGTTCCTTCAAGCTGCCCTATCGTAACTGTTGATGGGTATGTGGATCCTTCTGGAGGAGATCGCTTTTGCCTGGGTCAACTCTCCAACGTCCACAGGACAGAAGCCATTGAGAGAGCAAGGTATAGTATCATTAGTTACTTTAAAAGTTGAGCATCGTACATTGTCTTTTATTTGAAACTATTAATTTTCCCATGTGACTTATATGAGTTGATAAATACAGATAAAGAAATAAGGATCATGTTAAATATAAAATTCATAAGCATTTTATTTTATTTTAAATAGATGCCTAATATATAGTGATAAAAAATAATGACATTTCTATGACTGAATAGTAAGTAGCCAGACCTTTGGAATCCAGTTGAAAACTAGGTTTTAGTTTCTCTGATAATGAATTATTTCTGTTGAGAGAAAATAAGGTAACACAAGGACAGATGCTTTTGAAGTTATTTGTGATGTTGAAAAATTGGCAAAAGGGAAGTTAGGTAAATTAAATTATGATAAAATTTCAGTTTCATGTAATTAAAACATTAGTGAAAAGTTATGTAACAGAATAGAAATGTGTAAGATAACACATTACCAAAAAACATTTTAGCTAATATATGATCTTAATTGTTTAAGAAGGATATGTGTGCATAAGCATACAGTCTTGGTTCTTTTCTTGATATGTGACTCTGATGAATTACTTTCTATGCCACTGCATGCTAGTAGAATTTTCTGTGAGAAGGAATGATTTACATCTGTGCTGTTTGATTCTGTAACCATTAATTGCATGTAGCTTTTGACCACCTAAAATATGACTTATTGTATAATTGTTTTAAAATTTAAGTAGTCATGTGTTGCTAGTGAGGAATGATTTGGACATGTTTATAAACCTTAGATTCCTTGTAATAGAAATTATAAGACTTAACCTAAATGAGTCGTGAGGGTTAAATGAGAATTCATCTTAAGTGCTCCCAACACATAATAATCACTAATGTATTTATCTTTATTGTATATGAATGGGAAAAGAAGGAAATATAAAATGTTAACAGTGGTGGTCTTTAAGGCATGATGTTACATTGTTCTGTCGTTATTGTTTTTAATTTTCAGTACTGAATCTGTAATATAACTTGAACTAAAACTTCTTTGTAAATACCTAAAATGAAATGTCATTCTGTTTGTCTTCCTAAGGTTGCACATAGGCAAAGGTGTGCAGCTGGAATGTAAAGGTGAAGGTGATGTTTGGGTCAGGTGCCTTAGTGACCATGCGGTCTTTGTACAGAGTTACTACTTAGACAGAGAAGCTGGACGTGCACCTGGAGATGCTGTTCATAAGATCTACCCAAGTGCGTACATAAAGGTTAGTTGCAATTTTATTTAAGTAGTTTAGACTTCAAAAACTTTGTTAAAGAATTGAGATGAAGGTGAAAGGAATAGAAAAATGCCTTATGTTAATATGTGATAAATGTTATGGTTTTCTCAGGGCATTTGCTGATCTGATCAGTTACCTAGATTTTGGTTGCTTTTTGCCCTTGTGTTGTTTTATAAGAATCGGACTGGAGAATTTGATCTTAGCTGATATTTAGGATATTATGGAAAGGAATTCTGAATTCAATAATTTTTCAGTAATTTTTAAGATACTGAGAAGGTTGTATTTTTCATTAATTATTAGCTTTATATTTTTTAAATCATCACAAATATCTTCCTTGTTATATTAGTGGAATGAAATGTGTTCCTAAGAATCACCTGTTCTCAAGAAGCTGCTTAAGATATAGATATGACCAAATAGTACCTATAAAAATGAAATTGCTTTATTGCCTTATAATGGCAAACATGTCATTTTCAATTACAGTTCAAGTCAAATAGATTTATTTTTTATGTGAAAATTTCAAATTATGAAAATTTCAAACCAAGAATAGGAAAAAAATTTGTTACACCCATCATCAAATTTCAACAATTAGCATGTAATTTTTATCATTGCTATCAATGCCCACCTTGAATTTTTTTTTTTTTTTTTTTCTTTTTTTCTCTTGGTACTGGAGATTGAACTCACGACCTTGTGCTTGCCAGGCAGGTGCTTAGGTCACTGAGCTAAATCCCCAGCAGCATTTTGTTTTTAATTTGTTTCTCCTCATACTTCTTTTTCCAGTGGCAATTTAAAACCAATTCCAGCATACTAGTTTGCTCATAAAATGCTGCAGCATGAATACCTGATCCAGAAAGACTTGAAAAACACAATCACAGTGCTGTTTACACCTAACAAAATTAACAGTAATTGCCTGTTAAAATTTATAGTTTCGGTGTCATGAGTAATAGAATAGAATAAAACAATAAAATATTAAATTGTATTTATTGATAAGATCGTAATGGTATAGAAAAGTTGATTCTTAACACATTGTGATTGTATTTTTGTGGAATCCAGAAAGCTTAGCTGTTGCTAGTTGCTGTCCTAGAGGGTTGAATTACTGTCTTATGTCCTGTTTTTGAACTAGGTATTCCTAGTAGCATTTTCTTTAGTCTGTGTCATCCATTGATAGACATGGGTTGCTTCCACTTTTTAACTACTGTGAATGTTTGTGAATAAGGTTTTGGATAAATGTGTGTTTTCATTTTCTTGGACATATATGTAGGAGTAGAATTGTTTCATAATAATAGTAATTTAACATTTAAGTTTTCTGAAGAAATGCCCAAGTGTTTTCCAAAATGGCCATGACATTTTACATTTCTGCTGGCAACACATGAAGGTTTTGGTTTGTCTGTATTTTCCTCAACACATGTTATTATATTTAGCTATCCTAAGGGATGTAAAGTGGTATCTCATTGTGGTTTTGATTAAAATATTCCTAATCTTGTTGCATAATGTTGTGTATCTCTTCATATGTTGTTGGCTATTTGCATAATTTTGGAGAAGTGTTTGGCTAGATCCTTCGTTGTTTTAAAATTAAGTTCTTTTTATTGTTGAGTTGTTAAGAGTTCTTTATATATACTGAGTTCTTTATATATACTGAGTACTAGTCTCATCTGATACATGATTTGCAAATGCTTCTTTCCATTCTTCAGGCTGTTGTTACTTTTTTCCTTCCTCCTGTCTCCCCCTTTCTTTCTTATCAGTGAACTTTTTTGTTTTAATAAACTTTTTCATGATTTCTTTGGGTCAGAAATGGAGGTAGCTTAACTGGGTGTGTTTCTAAGTCAAGACAGCTATCAAGGTATCGGCCAGGAATGAAGTCATTCTAAGGCCCAAATGGAAGAGCATCTTCTTTGAAGTTTACTAGAAAGGGTATGGCAGGACTCAAAAGATGCCTTTCCAGTCTCATTTCACATGACTGTTAATAAGCCTCAGATATTCTTGATATAAACCAGAGAAATTCCGTGCCATGTGGGCCTTTCCGTAATGCTACATAGCATTGGCTAAGTGACTGACTTTCTCCAGATCAGAGGCTTCAATTTAGAATGAGACACAATGAACAAGAAAGAAGCCATTCTCTCTCTTTTTTTTTAACTAACCAATCTCATGAGCATTATCTCATCACTGTTTCAGCATTTTTCCTTTTTTTTTTTTTTTCATTTTTGTTAGAGATACTGGTAGAGCCAGCTCCCATTGAAATGTGAGTGTCGGGAGATGGGACTCTGGGATCAGTTTTAGCTCTTTACCACAATTTGCCCTCTCACCACCAGTAGTTTACATCTTTTCCACATGCAAGATAGGCTCATCTTTCCCCTAGTTTTTAAAATCTTGTTCCAGTACAGTGAGTTAGGATGTTATGGTCAATTTAGGTTGTAAGGCAGTAGCATGTATAAAATACTTGTGACTTAAAACACCATAGTTCTTTTCTGAGTCATTTTTTTTTTTTTTTTGGCTGGGGATCAAACTCACGACCTCGTGCTTGCCAGGCAGGCACTTATGCCACTGAGCTAAATCCCTGGCCCTTTTCTCAGTCATATTGCATGTCTGTCATGGGTTAAGGATTCTTCTCGTGTTGTCAATATCCAGGTTGTTTGTACATCACTGAATGTGACAAATTGATCACTGGCTGTTTGCACATGGGAGTGATACGTTAGTTTGCTCAGATTGCATGGTTCTGATTTCAAAGCTGCAAGGGGGTTCATTTCTGCATTTCTGTCATTTTCTCTCCTTTGATACCAAATCCCCAGTGGAGGTTCAGAGGGAATTCTGAATCACTTTAGCTATAGTAAAGAGCTTTGAGACTTACTTCTGAATATAGCAGTGTAGTGTTCTCATCTTAATAAAAAAAAAAAAAAAACTGTAAATAGAAGCCATGTTAGTGAGACTGAGGGGGTGATTTGGAAAGTTATGGCTGAAGGACTGGTTTTTCTGTCTTATGGATCCTTCTTCTGGGCCCTGAAGAATTCAGCAGTCTGTGGTTCAGTGTGGAACTGATGTTCTAGGCTCATCATAAGGCATATGTCTCTCTTTTGGTCTAAAGGAGCAGCAAACCAAAATTACTACCAGGATTACTTTTTCTCTTGATTGACGGCAAGAGTGCAAATGGAGAAAGAAATCCTTCCACTTTCTTAATATGATTTGCAGCATGAAATTTAAAATATTGGATGTAGTGCAATTTTTCTGCCCTATCTTTGGTTGCTTTTGGTGTCTCATCTCAGAAATCTTTGCCTAATCCAAAGTCAGGAATGAAAAATCAGTTTGTAATTAGTAGGCTGTAAGTGTAAAGGTTTATTTCTGAACTGTCAGTTCCATTTCATTGATCTATATGTCTGTCCTTTTTTTTTTTTCTCCCCCCTGGAGTGAGGGGATTAATGACACTGTGTCTCTCTGATGGAAGCCTGCTGAGTTCTACTCACTGAATCTCCCCTCCATACTGCATGGTTATTCCACTGCAGTCCAAGGTTTGGGGGGGAGGTGTGGGAGCCGAAGATCAACAGCAATACCAGGTCCAGGAGGTGAGGGGGGCTCCCGATGGCAGCGGTGGGACTGCTGGGGACGCGTGTCATGGGTTGGAGTTCCCAGGTCCTGAGGTGGGTGGCCAGGACTGTGGGACACAGGAGGGGCCAGGTTCTGGCTAGAGTTCCTGGGGGTCCCACAAGGTGGTCTGTGGAGAACTGTCTGTCCTTTTTTAAAACGTAGTTATTGATGCAATTTAGGTATATACTGTGATCACATCCATCATATGGAATTTGTAACTGCACATAATATACTTTGATTTGTCTTTTTTCCATGTACTTATTTCGTAATTACTGTAGATTCATATTATTGGAAAAAAGGAAATGTGAGTTCTTTTTTCAAGATTATTTTGGCTCTTCCCAGTCTCTTTGTACTTGAGCTGAGTTTCATTATTGACCTAGAAAGGATATCATTTTTTCTTTTTTTTTTTTTTTGTACCAGGGATCAAACTCACAACCTCATGTTTTCCAAGCAGGCACTTAACTGCTGAGCTAAATCCCCAGCCCACGGATATCTATTTTTAAGTTTTTCTGTTGTGTGTCTGGAGTCTAGAGAGGTGATGATTATATATACCCCGTGATACATGCATATCTCTGGATTACTTGTGTAATTAGAAATAAATGGATAAGGTACTATCTAGTATTGTATATATACTATGTGCCAAATAGTGTATATGAAATGTGGAGTGATATTTAAAACAAATAATGTGGAAGCTTGCATAACTAATTTCATGGATGGTCAAATAAATATAACATTTCTGTTTTGGTAAAATGGCTGTCAAAAAACTCCATGGTATGTAGCGTGCCATTACTGGACAAACCACTGTCATAGGCAGATTTTGTAGTGATCTTGTACTTTTTCATCGGCAATAGATAAATGTCTTGTGGGACAAGATATTTGGAGTGTAAAAAGTATCTCATAATTTCATAAAAACTGGAATTTAAAAGAGCTCTTTCACCACTGTGTCACTGATAAGAATCTTGTTAGCCAAAAAGAGACAGATGTAAGTATACCTTAAGTCTGACTCTTGACATTTTCTTTGTTAATTTTTTGGGGCATCAGTAACTAAAGGCTATGTAAATTAATTAATTAATTTATTTATTTATTGTCTTTTTGAGACAGGGTTTCATTATATAGTTCAGGCTGCCCTTGAACTCAATTTGTAGCCCAGGCTGGCCTCAAACTTGAAGCAGTCAACCTACCACTGCCTCCCGAGTACTGGGATTATAGATGTGCACCACCATACCTAGTGGGATATGTAAATTAGTTTGCCACATAGATTGTCACCATGGATGATACTGTACTGGGATGAACAAGTTATGTGAACCCCTAGAATGAGTGCTGCCCACAGATTGAGAATAGACATATACACACACATTTTCTCTTTTTCACAACAAGGAAAACAGATTTGGAGAATCGTATTTTCATTTTACAAGCCAAGAAGCTAGAATTAAAGGTTTTCTTGTTTGATTTTTCTTAGATACTGATTTTCCCTCTAATGATATAGTCATTTTATATTCATAAAAATCTGATGTAATAGAATGGCATTTTGTAAGCTTGAATTTTTTTTTTTTTTTTGTACTGGAGATTGAACTCATGACCTTTACTTGCCAGGCAGGTGCTTATGCCACTGAGCTAAATCCTTGGTTCTAAAAGCTTGAATTTGAATAAAGTAAGTATTTGACTTTAGGTGACTTGTTCTTTTTACTTTCAAAAATGAAGTTTTTTTAAAAAAAATTTTGTTAGTGTATATTTATGACACATAGTAAGTACATTCACCTTAGGCAGTTGGTACACATATATCAAATCTTAATCACTTTTATACCCTTTTCCCTCACTTTTCCACTGTTTTGTGTTGCTTGACTGAGAATTCTAGTTTTCAGCAGTTTGATAGAGATATATCATTCATATGCCATGCAAATTACCCATTTAAAATGTGCAACTCATTATTTTTTACTATATCAATAGAATTATGCAATCATCTCTACACTCAATTTTAAAACATTATATCATTTCAAAAAGAAACCTGAATCCCTTTAGCCATCACCCTCAGGCAGTATTCCATAAAGTCCTAGACAGTCACTAATCTACTTGCTATGTATTTGCCTATTTAGGACATTTCATATAAATAAATTCATGTAATATAGTCTTTTTTTTTTCTTTTACTGTAGGTCAGTTAACTTGACAATCATTTTTATGTTCAGATACATGTGTACCAGTAACACCATCCATTTTGCCTTCCAAATTACTGTTTCCTGGTGTTCAGTATTTGCAATTAAGCCTTATGAAAGAATCATACTAAAATTTGACTTCGGATTGAAAGAGGATATCCCTGAGGATATTGACAGTGATCTTTGTGGGATTTTTTTTTCCTTTTTTTTGGTACTAGGAATCGAACTCACGACTTCATGCTTGCCAGACAGGTGCTTATGCCCCTGAGTTAAACCCCTCACCCTGACAGTGATCTTTGTAAGACACCCACCTGTGTTAATAAGTTTGTAATAAACCTATATGAGTAGCTGCAGGAAACAGATAAATGAAAGCAGAGTCAGATTGTTAATTAGCTTAAGAGTGCGCTTAGAAATGTATTTTGGATCTGAGGAAAAAGAATTCGTAAAACCTTTGGTTACTTTGATTGTTTCATCAACAACTTCATTAAATTTTGAAAGGAAGATGGTACTGTTTCAGTAATAGACTTAATTTTACCATCCAGCATAAGAAATGAAATCTGTCATGTATCATGTATAAATTATGGTGTGAAATGAGGCAACCCAGGTCTCAACATAGGTGAGCTTAATTGCATAATTTTAAATATTCTGGTTTGAGTGTTGCAGTAATATAAATAATTTGTGAATCTTTGTTGAGGTGTCTAGTAAATAATTTTTACTACATTTTCATATAAAAGTCATTGAATTTCATCTTTATGGTTACTTATAATATATATTGCAGGTGTTACCATAGATTCATGCTAAAACAACATATTTACAAGATAATTGTATTGTGTGCATATGTGACAATTACTTGGCTGTTATGATTCATTGTGAAAGAATGTTAAGCATATTTGAACCTTGAAGATTTATACTCCACTCCCAGATGAGATTACTTACATACTGTATTTTGTTAACAGTAGTTAAAAACAAAAAAATCGGGATTGTATAGATCTAAATATATAAAATATGTAGAGGCTAACAGGAGAAAACCTAAATGATCTTAGTAATGACATTTTAGATGCATCAAAGGCATGAGTCGAGAAAAAGATAGACTGAATTTTATTAAAATTAGCTTCTGTGAAAAATTGTCATGAGAATGAGAAGACAAAACACATATCGGAAGAAACTATTTCCCATAGGTTGCCTAAAATACACAGAAATTTAAAACTTAATATAAGGAAACAACTTGATTTTAAAATACCTAAACATACTTAAGTAAAAAAAGACACACAGATGGCTAGCAAGCATCTAAAAATGTGTTTAACCTATATCATTAAGGAGATACCATTATAAACTACCTATTAGAATGGCTAAAATAAAATATATGGATAATACTAAATGATGACAAGCATGTGGGGGCTCTCATTCATTGGTGGGGAAAATGGAAATGGTATGGCCATTTTGGTAGATAGTTTGGCAGTTTCTTATAAAATTAAACATACTCTTATACACAGTCTAGCAGTCAAATACCTTGGCATTTACTCAAATGAATTGAAAACTTAGGTCCACATGGAAACATGCAGATGTTTATAGCAGCTTTATTCATAAATGCCAAAATTTGAAAACAACAAAGATAGTGTTCATTAAGTAAATGGACAAACTAATACATCAGACACTGGGATATTATTCAGTGTTAAGAAATGAGCTATCATGAAAAAATATAAAGGAAAACTTAAATGTATGTTAGGTGAAAGATGCTGATCTGAAAGGCTGCCTTCTATATGATCCCAATTATATAGTTTGAAACATGTAAACTATTGAGACAGAAGCTGAGTGGGTTACTACAAAGTAGTGGGAAGGAAGCAATGAATAGGTATAACACATAATTTTTAATATATAAAACTATTCTATGTGAAATAATAATGCGTTGGATGCATGCCATTATGAATTTGTATAAATATAGAGTATGTAACATGAGCCAGGGGTTTAGCTGAGGGGCACAAGCTTACCTGCCTGGCAAGTATGAGGTTGTGAGTTCGATCCTCAGTACCAAAAAGAAAAAGCGTACAACACTAAAGAGTAACCTCTAATGTAAACTGTTGACTTCAAGTGATAGTGATGTGTCAGTGCAGCTTTTATTGCTTGTGACAAATGTAGAACAGTGGTGCGGAGACGTTGATCTTTGGGAGAAGTTTATGTGAGGGCAGGGACTCTATACTTTCTGCTCGGTTTTGCTGTGATCAAAGGCAAGTTTTACCACTTTTTTCTTTTAAGAAAAAGTGCTTTTAGAGTTGCTTGGCTTTCCAAGTGCCCCTGCTTTGTGCTGTTAGATAATGGCTTCTTAGGGTCTTAGTCTAGGTCATGATTCTACTCTCCTTGTTCTCTTTTTCCTACAACTTTTGCAGGTGACTGTTCTTTTTTTGTGTAATCTTCCAGTGATATTTTAAACAATGGAAATTAAGCAAACATGTTTTAGGAAGATGGGTTTTTATCAGAACAAATAGTGATATAATTATCCATTGTTTGTTGCTTACATTCTAGTACTTTCCTGAAGATAGAAGTAGAAGTCATGTCAACCCTTTCGTTGCCATTCTGAGTGTGTGATTTGCTTGATAAAGTGCATTGAAATTACTGACCAACTCATCTTGAAAGAAAAGTGGCTATTGAGGAGGCCAAAACCAAAATAACACTGACAGCTTGCTGTGTACTATGCTGTTTACAGTAACCCTAAGAAAATATGTATACTTAGCATTCTCAATTTATACATAAGAAAATTATGGCCCCTGAGAGTTTAAGAAATTCTTAGCTCACATAATTAGCAGATATCAGTGATGGAATAAACCTGATTTTTAAAAAAATTATGAACATTTTCAAATGTTAAGAAAAGTAGTCTGAAACTGGTTTAATGAAGTCCCATATGCCTTTCACTTAGATGAAGTAAAGATTTTATATTTGTTTGATGGATCCATTTTCTCTCCTTCTTTAGAGCATTTGAAGATAAGATTGGTAATCTTTTTATTCTGTAGCTAGGTACTTAAAGTACACATAAAAGTACTTAAAGTACACTAAAAAGTGTAAATGTTTTCTTACATAATGACAGTGCCATTTGTTACACTCCTTCAAATAGCAGAAATGTTAAAAGAATGGTAAGAAAAGATGTTGGTCAGGTGACTAAAATCAACTCTAGTCTAAAGAAAACTCAGCAATTTGGTTGTGAAAGGATAGTGTGATTTCTTAACTGTTCATTTGCCACAGATGGGTGGTTTTTCACGAGGACTGGCCCACACTGAACTATATAAAGGATGTAGAGGCATTTTGCAGCCAGAGTCATCCTGATAATGAAATGTACCTCTAGGTGAGCTCCAGGCCCCCCTTTCTAATTTGTTTTATACCAGTTACATCTACACAGGAATTTGAAATTTTTAATAAAGTTTTGAATTTTCAGTAAATTGCACATTGATTTTTAGTACATGTTCTCTTTCCTAATGGACTCATAATGTTAAATGTACACCTTTTTTTAAAAGGTCTTTGATTTGCGTCAGTGTCATCGACAGATGCAGCAACAGGCAGCCACTGCACAAGCTGCAGCAGCTGCCCAGGCAGCAGCTGTGGCAGGAAACATCCCTGGTCCTGGATCAGTAGGTGGAATAGCTCCAGCTATTAGTAAGTATACTTTTGATTTTTTTTTTCTTAAAGTCTAATAGTGGCATTTTATCTTGATTCACTCAGTTGATTACTCCATTTAAGCAGTGATAGAAATTAAAATTCTTACTGGGGATGATAACATTTTTAAATTTGTAAACGTGTTTCTTCTGTAATAGTTCCCTTTGCCTAAGTAAGATAAAAGGCTGTTTGCATTCTTTTTGAATCAAAAAAGGAGTATGGGATAAAGGGGCCCGTTACTATGTTATATTGTCCCCCTTCCCCCACTTTTTTTGTTGATGCTTATTGTAAGTCCTGCCTCCCAGCCAGGGTGGGTTATAATCAGTGAAGTGCTTGGCTTAATTCTATTAAGGAAGCATATTTCAATCTTAGAATTGGATGCCTCTCTAGCTTTTTTGTTTGTTTGTTTTATTTTGTTTTATTTTTAAGTAGAATGCTAAGCTTGGAGAGAAAACTAAGTGAGGGTGGTATTTTGATAACTTGTAGACTTTTTTTTAATTTTAGGGTAAAATTGAACTATGTGCCAGGTTTCACACTGATGGGGAATTTTTTACTGCAGAGTTAAACTCCTGACTATAGACTTTTTGATGGAAACACGTGGCACCCATCTTCCACGTCTGAAGGCATAACTAGTGATTCATTCAACCCCTGTTCTTAACCTCTTCAGTGTGGTAAGCAAATCACACTGGCTAAGAAAACTGCAGTGGCCCTGCAGGTTTCTGTATAGTACATGCAAATTCCTCCCATTAGTTTCATGGTAATATTGATTAATGCAGATTGACTATATGACTGTATGTTTTGACTGGAAAATTAGAAGCAGAGTCTCTGTTGTACCTTAACTCCAGGAGTTTACAATTTATACATAGATCAGACATACTCACTAGAGTTTTTTGTTTTTATTTTTTAATTTGGGCATCTAAACCATTAATTTGCTAGTTTTGATGCTATAAACATGTTTTTTTCTGAAGACTTCAGAAATAGTATAAGTTTTTAAATGCTCATCTGTTTCCCCCATTTGTGTATTATTTTTGTTACACTGTGAAATTGAGAGGCAGACATCTGGGTCATCTTAAGAAGTCTTAGCCAGACTTATTAACTGTCTCATTATTAGTCATGTCTTATTTCGAAGTAGGCTGTTTAAATAATAAGGTTCTTAGAACCAACGTGTAGATGTGTGCTACCTCTTACAAACAAATTGTTTCTTATCCCTTCATCCCCCCCTCTAAAGAGAAAAATAGATGGGGTGGTGGTGGATTGTGGTAATTTATAATCGGTGGTAACTAGAAGACACAGAACTGCCTTAACCAGAGTTTCTAGTTCTTATTGATAAAGTTTAGGTCTACAGTTATTTCTTGGCATTTTGACAGAAGTTTTATGCTGAGGAGTATAAAGAAAGCAGAATGTAGGGAGGATGGAAGATCACCCTCCCTCTCTGATGTTTTCCAAACCTTTTCTAGGTTTGTCAGCGGCTGCCGGCATTGGTGTAGATGATCTTCGTCGCTTATGCATACTCAGGATGAGCTTTGTGAAAGGCTGGGGACCTGATTACCCAAGACAGAGTATCAAAGAAACACCTTGCTGGATTGAGATTCACTTACACCGGGCCCTCCAGCTTCTAGATGAAGTACTTCATACCATGCCGATTGCAGATCCACAACCTTTAGACTGAGGCCTCTCACTGTGGGCCCTTACCATTACCAGGATGGTGGACTATAAAATACAATCCTGTTTGTAATCTGAAGTCTATTTCATTTTTGTTCTGCTTTATCTTTTCATAAAGGGTTGAGAAATGTGTTTGCTGCCTTGCTCCTAGCAGACAGAAACTGGATTAAAACTTTTTTTTTCTATTTAGAACTTTTCAGGCATGGCTCAAAGCTTGAAGATCAGGAAGAACATATTCTTATTAAATCTTCGCCAGTTATGTATGAAGGAGTCATTCCAGTACTGGGAAATTTAACCCTTTAAAATGTGTTAGAGCCTTTTTTATGCAGAACATCAGTGTGTTTGTTACTCTACAGAATAAATTCAATATTGCTGATTTTAAAAGCAGAGAAGTTCTCAAAGTTAATTCACCTATTTTATTTTGTGTGCAAATTGTTATTGTCAAACATACTTTATTCCAAGATATTGTGCCATGTGGGTGAGTTAATATTATTAAGAGTAACTTTACTCTGTGTTTAAAAAAACAGTAATGTATTATAACCTTTTATCCAAAATATTTTTTGCAACTTAAACTAGTGAAGATTATTTCAATTCACATTGTATTGCAACCTCAGTTTTAATTTTGCCAAGGCAAAACACTAATCTGTGTGTATATTGAAAATTCCTTAAAATTACCAGACAAATATCATTTAAAATTACATTGTTATACCTATCAAATGAATATTTATCAGTAAATATACTTTTGCCCTGTTAAACAGTAGATATAGTCTTCTGTGTTTCTGGGCACAAGGCTGGTTACTAAGAAGCCTAGAAGAGGAATTTCTTTTCCTTCATTAATTCATAAGGAAAGGTTTTGTATTTTTAACACTAAAAGCAGTGTCACTCTACCTAATATCTCATTGTTCTGCAAAGGTGGCAGTGCTTAAATAATGAGTATTTTGAAAACTGCTCAATTCTGTGTTAAATACTGTGCAGAATAATGAAAACATTGCAGTTCATAATAGGTAGTTTGGATATTTTTGTACTTGATTTGATGTGACTTTTTTTTCATATACTGTTTAAATCATGAATGTTATGCCATGTTTAAAATTCAGTTTTTGTATCTTGGGGCAAGACTGCAAACTTTTTTATACCTTTTGGTTATTCCAAGCCCTTTGCCATCAATGATCATATCAATCTGCAGTGACTTTGTATAGAAAATTTAAGTAGAAAAGTTGCAGATGTATTGACTGTACCACAGACACAATATGTATGCTTTTTACCTAGCTAGTAGTATAAATAAAACTGAATCTCAATATACACAGTTGAATTCTAGGTTTGATTTTTAAAAATTTTTCTTTTGCACTTTGAGTCCAATATCAGTGACAAGACACCTTCTACTAAATGACAGGCAATAGCCAATTGTATTGGGCAGCTTTGGTTTTTCCCTTACTCTCTACCAGGACTTTTCCATGAACATGTGTATCACTTATAGAGTTGCTTAGTTTTTTAACTTTTCTTCTACTATAGCAAAAATAAATGTGATTGTTTATGAGACAAATAGATTCTCTGCAGGATAGAGTGAAATAAAATCAAATACTATCTTTCAGATGGTTTTACTTTTTGCTTGAGGGCTTTTGTAAGCTTCCTGAGATTCTTTAAGATGTGTTACACATTGACCTCTAGAAACTCTTGGACATACTAGTCTTCCATATGCCAACTGAAATAAGTCTGTGGCCTTGCTCAGAAGGTCTTACTTAATAAGATGTCGTAAGAAACCACTGAATGCTTACTGCTGTGATTTAATCACAGCTCTCAATCCAAGTTATACATCTTAAATTTTTAAATAGCCCCTCTACCTGTTCATTTCTCTTGTTAAGTATTCACAAATACTTAGGGCAAAGTCCGAATTTTTATCTGTGGGTAAGTGGTGGGTTTTAAAGTTTTATTGGCGGAATTATAGAGTGATGCCTTCTCTAGAAGTTTTTGTCTTTAGATTTTAGTCTGCAAGAGGAATGGGAGAGGAAGAAATTTAAAGATAAGAATTTTTAACCCAAATTACTTAATTAGAAACTTAGCCATGCAATGGTGTAATCTGTTGCCTGTTTTTGTACTTTAGGGAAGATTTTCATGTTTAGTCATTTTCAGAAAGCATTGAAAATGTTTGCTAAGAAGTATCTCTTTGGAGCCAAGCCATCTGTCTTGGTTTCTTTCTATTAAGAGCCATAAAGTGTGAAAGTACTTTTAATTATGAATTGCTTATATTTTTACCTAGCTTGTCACATGATTGTACCTGACAGCTTGGTTGTTAAACTATTTCCATTTTTTAAGAGATGTTCATCTTCGATGACCTGAAGGATCTTATTAGTTTAAAATTTTATTCCCATTTTAGGAAAAAAAAATAGTTTCTGTAGTTTGTAGAGTCTATTATGTGGGTATGGTTTAACATGGTTTTCTTCAAATAATTCATATCTCAAAGACTCTCAGAATGTTGAATTTCAGCAAAAGCTGAATGAAAGATGAACCAGTGTGAGACCCATTGCAATTTTGTCTTGTGCCTTTCTTTGCATTATCAAAGGGAGTCCTTTATGATACTGCCTTTATTTGTCAGGGAGTAAATTCTTTTGCAGGATCTGTTTTGTTTTTCCGCAGTTTATGACTGCTAGTATACAGTGATAATGATAATAAATCACTGCCATGTAACATTGCTTTTCCAGAAACATGGCTCATTTCTATTCCCTTTACCAGTAACTAGGTCGCCTACCCATTCCTTCTACAAACATTACAGGTTTACAGATTGGATGGTTGGCTTAAAGAATAACTCTACTTGGAATAGCTAAGTAACAGCACACTATTAGATGTGTTGTATTTCAGAGCAAAAAATCCATTTTAATGGGAAATGGTGTGATTTCTAATAAAAAATTTGAAGGCAAAGTAGAATTTTCTGTCTTCCAGATGATAAATACCTTATTTTAAAATTCTTTGGTTAATTGTAGGAAGGTGAACTGCAGCTTATCTTTTTTTATTGTAGCCACAGAAATTGTACATTTTACCATAATGCTCTCTTAAGTATCTGGAGGGGAAGTATTTCTGCTCCAAGTTTCTTGTTAACTGGTTATAGTCAAATGGTCATTTAATAGCTGATTTATGCAAAATCAGAGTCATTCAGACCTTTTTTGAAAACCTTTTGGAAGGAGCAGTTTTATTCTGAGTAAGGCAGAGTGGTATTTGATAAATTTCTATAGTTCTCTTTGTTGTCATTTTATTTATTGATAGCAGATTGGTAAACTGATGAATTTACATTTCCAAGGCAAATAAGTATATGAATACAATTACCTGTAAAGTTAATTAACAGCTCTTGTCAGTGGGGCAGACAACACTCAGTTCCCCTTTAAAGGCAGAACCCATCTTGTTGCTGCTAGTGATCTGTAAATAATCTCCTAAATCCTTCTTTGCAAGGTAGAGAATAGCTGTGAGAATCTTGTGCACATCTTTCCATTTTCTTTCCTCTGATAACTAGGTTATTTTTTCTTTTATGTCAAGAAGGATGTAAAAAGTTACTGGCTTTATCATAGCAGCATTCTTGGCCCATCCTTATCCTCACTGCTTGTCCCAGTGCTGCTAGGTTGTTTATCTGGTGTCACTGTGGAATGAAATTTTCTACAAACTTGCCTTACTAACAGGAAAAGTGTCTTTTCTTTTAAAGCCGTTTTTTGATGGAGTTATTTAATACATATTTCAGAAAATATACTGGATAAAACATTTTTTTGTACTTTATTGTCTTTGTGGGCTTCAGGGGATTTAAGACAAACTATTGTGCCATTACTAAGTGGTTCCAGACTACTATAGTTAGAATTTTTAGTGTTTAACCTCCTTTCCTTTTCTGGTTTTCATTTCTAACAGCTACCACTTCCTATGTGTTTACTAGTATGCCTCCCCTGAGTATTTCATTCTTCCTTTTCTGATTATTTCTAACTGCTTCAGCAAAGAAACCAAGACAACTGAAACTAGAACTTTGAGTACCCATGATGCTTTCCAGTTAAGTGCAGAAAAGGACTTCAGTGCACAGGCATTTGATACTGGTTGACTGCTTAAAATGCTCCCTGATTCTTGCTGAGTTTCAGGAGGATGAATAGACAGAAATCAGTCATAATCGTATTTTGCCCATTAAAGTAATGTTTTAGAAGGTTCCATTGCTTCCACTTAAGTGGTTCTCATAGAGAAACTGGGGTTACAGGGTTGCTATATTAGCATCAACAGCCAGAGGCAGTACTCTCACTTGGAGGACATCAGCAAACAACACACACATACAAATCTTGGAGACAAGAGGGCCATTTTTGTTTTCTTTTGTTTTGTTTTCAATGTCCTCTTACCTGTATCTTCTGGCCTGCCTTCTCTATAGATACTTATGACCTGTAGGTGCCTTTATGAAAATTGAGGGTCTGATGTCCTGCCCCAAGGAGTAGCTAAAGTAATGGCTGATATTTTCAGGGATTTTAACATCAGACGTGAATGAATGAAGCTTCTTTTTCTTTTTTTTTTTTAATGTAGGAAAGACTGAAGAGAAAACTTCGGTGAAGACAATCATTTCTTTCTATTGAGGTGGATATTTTTCACGGTTTATTTAAAATGCTTTCTCAGTAAGTCCAGAGTTGATGTTATTTTTCATCCTGAAACAAATGGCTGTGCATTAGGCCAGACAGTCGTACACTCTAGTTTACTTTGTCAGAAATTTGATGTGTGATCTTCGGCAAGTCATTTGCCTTCTCTGCGCATCTGTTGCCTCATCTGTAAAATGGGAGTTGGACTAGCTTATTTATTCCAACTCTGAATTCTAAGTGACCTTGCTTACCTTGCAGCAGTTTTGGTATTCTTCTTTACCTTTGCTCTGCTGTTTGAGGGGGCTTTTTACTTATTTCCATGGAATTCAAATGAGACTGGGCTTGATATTTTATTATTCTCCTATGGACAAGAAGTTACATAATATGTCCTTAAGACTTAACCAAAGGCCTAGCACCACCTTAGGGGTTGCAGTAAGCACTTGACAAAAATAAACAGTAAAGGGGGAAAAAGCCTTAATTTAATTTTTGTCATCAGATTTTATAGTGGCTTTTTCTGAGTCTTGACCTTCTGTCTCAAATGGGTATATGAGTGGTATCATCTTCCTAAGTGCTGTGTGTGTTAGTAATTTTTTCAACTAAAATGGATTGAAAACCTTTTGTTAATGCCTAATGATATTAGAGGCCATTAATTTGGGTCTTTGGTTTCTTAATCCTATATATTAAAACTGGGAAATTCCTCTGAACTGCATCAAGTAAAATGGTTTATATGACTCAAAAAACAAAATGTATCAGTAAATGATAATTCACTTTTGGATCTTTTTAGGTCCATTTCGATTACTCCTCTTAGAGATCTTTCCAGTTTACCCTTGGATGAGTATCAGTAATGAACTTGGCTTTTTCAAGGACCTGGAGAGCCTTTCTTCAGGGTGGTTTAGAGTGAGAGGGGATTTGGGGAGTCCTGGTAGAGGCCAGCTCTGGTAGCTGGAGAAGAAGGGATGAAACCAGCTGCTGTTGCTAAGGCTGCTTGTCATTGATAGGAGGACTCATGGACTTGGATTGGTTAAAAGGCTAAACATGAAGTTGACAAACCTCCTTCTGTTCAATTGGATATGTGATTTATGGGAAACGTATGGATGCTTATAGATGATGGGAAATTGTTGGGCTATAGAACCCAGTTTGAAAGAATGGGGGGCTGGAGACAGACTTGGTGTCAGTGTTTCCCAGCTCTGTCTCTTTTGAAGCCCAAGGAATGCAGGTATACTAAAACTCAGAGAAGAGCCACTCAGCTTCTGCTTTGGAGAAAACTGGTCAGCTGAAGCTCCAGTTAGTTCCTTTGTGGCTTTTTGTATACTTTTTCTTGGTTGAAGTCTGTGGCTAAAAAAGTAGTTGAACCTTTCTTGAGAACTCTGTAACAAAGTACGTTTTTGATTAAAAGAGAAGGCCAACTAAATAATTATGTGCTCATTCTTTTTCTTAAGTTGTGGATGTCTTGGGTTTGTCTGGAAAGAATTCCTCATTGCTTAAAGAATTCTCAAACTTTGAGGTCAACATTTTCCTTCATTGCTTTGTGGCTACTGAAATGGAAAATACAGCATTCCAGCTATGATCCTGAAGTAACAATCCGTATTCTTTTCTCATTTCTCTCCAAAAGGAGGGTGTGGAATGATGATGATTGGAGGAGATGTGGGTTCTGGGAGATTATGAGAACTGGGGTAGTTAAAGGAGAGGCAGAAGTTGGAGGTCCTCCATTGCCCACTTAACAGATCAAGGAAAGCTCCTAGCTGCCTCCTTAACGAAATGGGCATCACCAAGAAGGTTGTATTATCAGGTAAGTGATTCAGGGGCAATGGCTTATAGATAGTATTGACAACATCAGCATTTTGTCGTGATCTTGTTGGCATGAGTTTCAGAGATGTGTCTGCTAACAAAAGTTAGGACATTTTAGGTTAGAACTTAAAGTGGATAGTAGATTGTCATTTAGTTATTCTTCCCAAGAAAAAACTTTTTTATGGAGCAGTTCAGGAGAAAGGGAAGTTGTATATATTCTTTATACTTTTGATCTTTGATTAGTATGTGGGTGTGTGTTTATCTGTGTGTTTTATTCTATTTCCCATATCATCACAGCTCCCACAAATAGCAATCTCAAAAGTTGGGATGTTTCTAAATCTCCAAACCTTTCTCATCCTCAGCAAGCACTGAAATTGCTGTACCTTTTCCTTCATCCTTTTATGTCCTAAAAGAGTAATTCTTTAGTTCTGGCCTCACTTTTAAGGTGGCATGAAATTCTGTATTTTGATATAGTTTTGCTGGGCCACCTGAGCCACAGAGAGATGTATAGATTAGATTAAAAAAACTTGAGAATTGTTGCCAGCATATCCCCCTAAAAGAATGACTGAAGAAAGTTCTATAAGAGAAATGAAGTGATAAGGAATGTAAACTTCAGAAAAAACATCATAACACTGAGAAAATCTTTTACTGAGCTTTAAAAGTTATGATAGTTGGGCTGGGGATTTAGCTCAGCGGCATAAGTACCTGCCTTGCAAGCAGGCAGTTGTGAGTTCGATCCCTGGTATCGATGCAAAGATTGTAACATTACATAATATGGTTTTAAATGTATATAGAGGAACTATTTAAAAGTTGGCAGAAGTAAAGGTTCATACATGAGTGTATTTTCTATATTTGAGTGGTAAAATTATAGTAGACTGCAGTAAATACAAAGTACTACCCAGTATAACTACTGAAAAAACTATGTAAATAAGTATGTTCGAAACACTAGATACAGCCACATGGAATTCTAAAAACTTCAAGTAATAGGATAGGGCAGTAAGACAACAAAAATAAGAATAAAGAAAAATTTGTAAATGGTCCATTACATGCTAACATCAGTAATTAAATATAAATGGTCTAAATGTACCATTTAAAAGACATTGGCAGAGTGGAATTAGAAATGTAATCCAACACTGGGGCTGGGGATTTAGCTCAGCAGTGTAAATGCCTGCCTGGCAAGTACAAGGTCGTGAGTTCAATCCCCGGTACCAAAAAAAAAAAAAGTAACCCAACAGTATGTTTCTACTAGAAACTCACTTCAAACAATATATAAAAAGTAAAAGAAAAAAGTGGAAAAGATATATCAAGTAAATGTTAAATGTAACTCAATGGTATAGTATGTTTGTCTAATGTATATCAGGCCCTGGGTTCAACCCCTAGCATTTGGAGGAAAAAGTGAAAAAGATCAGTTATGGACTATATTAGACTTCAAAACAAAAACATGAGCTAAATTATATAATGATAAAAAGGGCAGTTTAGTAGCCCTTTGTGACCTTAGTAGCCAATGGGAGTGTTAGCTACCCCTCCCCCACACCCAGACCTCAAAATCCAATAGGTATGTTGGCCATACTACCCCCCCCCACCCACCCAGAAGAACTCAGCAGCCCATGGGAACATCAGCAATCCCTTGCATGATGTGCAGTACCTCAGTGGGCTGGTGGGAGTCTTGGCAACCACTTCCCTCATGCAGAGGACTTAGGTGGGCTGGCAAGAGTGCAGTGACCCCCTGCCCCAAGCAATGGGTCAGCAGATTCCTCAGCAAATACTCCCCCCACCCAGAGGGTTTTGGCGAGCTGTCAACAGCATGGGTGAGTTCTTCCATACAGAGAACCCCAGACAAGTGCACCAGCAAGGCCTCCCTCTAACTGAAGGAGCCCAACTATGACTGTGAGACCCCTAGTGACATAGTAAGGTCCCAGCTGGGGCACACACCGTGGGCAGGTAGATCTGGCAGCCTGGAACATTCTGAAGCCATAGGAACAATATAAGCAACAAGTTGGTTCACATCAACACTCCAGACTAGTCAGTATAGGAAAAATATAGGACTCACCCAAGTGGCCTGCAGGAGTACTTCAGTAACTGGGTGAACATCATCCACACAGTAGAACACACATATGGACAGTTGAGAGTAGTAGAACTGAAAAAACCAAAATATTAACCCAAGAGGTGAAAATGACAAAAAAGCAAAATGCAATCTCAGATAACCAGCCCTTCTAGAAGAAGTACAGGAAACATCAAAACAGAGGACATAGGAAGTCACACACCTGAAGTTTCTGAAAATATAGCAAGTGAAATAAATCCAGGAGGGTATAGGGGAAATCAGATTAGGCATAACCTCTCAGGTAAAGAAATGACAACTTTAATGAAGTTGCTCGGCATACCTAGAGGAGACGGAGTAAAAAAAGAAATACAGAACCATGGGGAAAGATGGACACCTTGAATGACCAATATAGGAAAGAAATAGAATGCATGAAACAAATTGAAAGAGATGTCCAGGAAACTAAACATCCGGTTGAAAGCTGGCAAAACTGAAGATAGACTTTTAGACCTTGAGGACAGGATTGCAACTAGTGATCATGAAAGGAAAGAACTCTTAAAAATAACAAGGAACCATGAAATAACAATTCAGCAAGTCCAAGATGGTGCAAAGAAAATATAAGACTGATAGTTGTCAATGAAAATGCAAGAGTCAATGCAAATGACAAAAAAGCAGAAGCAATAGAAAGTTTCCTAAGCATCCAGAAAGAATCTTAAATGCAGATAAGTGAGGCATATAGAGCTCCTAACAGCCATAACCAGAATACATCTACATCCAGACATAAAATAATCAAGACCCCAGAAATTTAGCATACAAACAATACTAAAAGCTGTAGAGAAGAGAAACAGCTCACCTATCAAGGAAAATCCATTAGAATCATGGCCAACTTCTCAACACAAACACAAGATGAGGTTGGAGTGAAGTATTTCAAGCCCTGAAAGAAAACATTTTCCAACCCAGATTGACTTACCCTGTTAAAATTATCTTTCAAAATTAATGGAGAAATTAGATATTTCCATGACAAAAAACAACTGAAGAAATTCATGTCTATCAAACCAACCCTAGAAAGAGTACTTTCTAGATAGAGACAAAAATAACCACATTTCCCAGAACAACAGACAGAAACCACCAGGCAGGACAAGCAATTAAAGGAGAAAAGCAGGGAACCAACAACAGGAAAATAACATGACAAAGTTAAGCCAATACAAATCAATTATAACCATCAATGTAAATCACCTCAATTCACTAATTAAAAGAAATAGATTGACAGACTGGATCAAGGAACAGGATCCAACAATATGCTATATACAAGAAGTACATCTGACTCAAAAATTCATAGAAAATCCAAAGATGGAAAACAGTATTCTGTGTGACAGGAACCCAGAAAAAAGCAGGGGTAGCTGTTCTATTTACAGACAATGTGAATTTCAAACCAAATATGATCACAAGAGATAAAGAATGTCACTACATACTTGTTAGAAAAATTCAAAGAGATAACAAACATAAACATATGCACCAAATACAGAAGCACCCAATTATATAAGACAAATACTAATAGACATGAAAAATCAAATATGCAGTAACAGTCATAATGGGGGACTTTACTACCCCACTTTCACAGAGTTCAACTAGGTAAAAAATTGGTAGAGAAATAATAGAACTGAATTAAAACTGAACAAATGGACTTACTGGATATTTATTGAGTCTTCCACCTAACATCAGATTACACATTATTCTTAGCTGTATGTGGGATATTCTCTAAAATAGACAATATATTAGCCCAGAGAACATGCTTAAATAAAATGCAAAGGAAATTGTCCCATATGATCTGACCATAATGCACTAAAATTGAAAATTAATGGCAAAAGAAACTGCAAAAAGTATATAAACACATGGAAATTAGCACACTCCTGAACAACCAGTGGGTTACAGATAAAGGTTTTGGTATACTGCATCTGCATTTGCTTGGTTTTATTCTCCTTAAAAATTACCAGCAACAATCTACATACAAACACATGGAAATTAAATAACACTCCCTTGAATAACCAATGGATCACAGGTGAAATTAAAAAAGAAATTAATATCTACAATTCAGTGGAAATGCAGATATATCAAAACCTGTGGGATGCAACAAAAGTGGTCCTAAGAGGCAATATATAGCATTGCATTCTCACATCAGAACAAGCACAATAACTTAATGCTGCACCTCAAGCTTCTAGAAAAAGAAGAGCAAGTCAAGATCAAAGCCCAAAGAAGGGAGGAAATTATAAAGATCAGAACAGAAATCAGTGCAATTGAAACTAAGAAAATAATAAGAATTAATCAAGAGTTGGTTCTTTTAAAAAATAAACAAAATTGATAAATCCCTTGGCAACTTTATCAAGAAAAGGAAATAAAAAGCTGCAATTCATGCAATGAGGAATGAAAAGAGTGAAATTACTACAGATCCTATGGAAATTCAGAAGATCATCAATACCTACTTAAAAAATCTTTACTCATATATGCAGGAAAACAAATGGATAGAATTCTAGAACTGTATGAATTACCAAAGCTAAATCAAGAACATATGAAAATTTTGAATAAATTTT